AAATGTGTATTGCAGGAAGTGTGGAAGGTAAAGGAAAGAAAAAGATTTAGTGCTTTTCTTTCGTGCATTTTGGTTGAAGATTTGTTTTTGATGCATAGCTCTGATGATTAGTACAAGATTGTATTTTGAATTTTTGGACCTTGTGTTTGGTCATAGTAGATTTCTTGTACTAGTGGACCCGAATGTATATGAATATGTATTTTTTTSGTATGAAATATGTATTACATGCAATGTGTGGGTTGGGGCGTTACATTTCTCCATAAGCGTGGACGGATTGGCATAATTCCAAAGACCCAAGATTCCAAATCGCGGGGTAAACTGCTAAAATGGTTATCTCGGTTGGCTTGGTACTATTGGTTAATGCAACCATGCGTCTAAACAACGAGAGGGCTTCCTTGGGTTGATTCGTTCGTGTCTACCCATCAATCATACCGCTCCAAGAAACAACATTCTTAATTGGCATCGCATCAAAGGAAAACTGTGCTAAAGCAATTTCACCCTGTTTCGCCAACCCCGTCACCAAAACATTCCAGGTGACTAAATTTCTCTCGGGCATTTCATCGAACGCTTTCCGACATTCATGTAAACACCCACAGACAACATACATATTAACCAAAGCAGTTTGCACGTAAACATGACTCTCGAAGCCAAATTTGAAGGTGACGCAATGGAGCTGCGAACCAGAGATGGTTAGCTGTGAGTTAGCACAAGATTTGATCAAGAAAGCATATGTGAAACTATCACCGTAAAATAGCGTGGTGGGGCAGAGGGGGTGCTTATAGAGCAAAAAAGCTTCTTCCAGGGAATTCCCAAGTGAGTAATGGCGGAGGATGGTGGTCCAGAGAGTGATGGCCTATGGGTGGTGGTTTTTGGTTTATGGCGACGGCGGTACCAAATGGGCGTGGGTTTGTTGAATGGATCGGCGGTTGCAGTGATGCTTGCGTGGTAACGATAACAAGTTGTAGTGGTGTTTCCTCATCGTTTGATTCTGATGTCCGTTTGCACCATCTTCAATTCAAGCTTTCGATAATTATATTTTAAACAAAAATCCAACTAAAAGATATGATTTTTATTTTTTATGGATTAAATTATATAACAGGTTGTTTATTTACCTCTTAATAATTCCACTAAGAGGCAACATCTGAATCGTTAAAAAGTGAATCTTGTTTAACAAAAAAAAGTCTTAGTCTTAATGGTTTTAGAACTCTTTAAATGATTTTGTATCATGGGTCTCCTTAATCATTGAGCACCCTAATTTTATTGTAAACAATTACCAAACAGTTATATTTTATTTTGCACGATATCATGAGACTCTCTTAATAATTATGATCACTTAATAATTTTGCACCAAATCATTCAGCAACTATCAAACAACCACTTATTTATAAATAAATAAATAAAAGTAGCGATGTGTTTAATAATAATCACTGAATTTACAGGACAATAAATGATTTGCTAATTACTACATGATCTTGTTTATTTTTAATTTACTTAAAAGGGACATAAACCCAAAGGCTTACCCGGTAACTAGTTATAGAAAAAATATAACACTATCACTTATCTTACCGAATAAGATTTTAGTCCATCAAAACAGCATCCTATGCAACAATTTATTCGGTAAGAATAGTCACCCAAATTTACCGGATAAGACTCATTGGCCCTTGCCATTAGTGTTACCAGATAAGATTCTTGGTCCTTATCACGTTCATCCGGTAAAGTAAATAACCGAATAAGCTTTTATCAAATAAGCTCTTAGTAAACAACCCCTTAATAAACTCAAAACTTATTACTAAAATCATTATATTTATCAAAATTGATTGTTTTTTTTTTTTTGTAATTGTAAAAAAAAAATGAACCTTGTAAATCGATAACGTTTCTAAGTTGCACATAAGCGTTGTTGAACATTTCTTTAGTCAAGGTACATCGGTGTCGAAAATGGCCTAATATCCATGAATATTATTTCTATAAACAACATTCATAAAGACAATAGCTTTTTCTAGGTGAGAATGAGAAAATTATTACATATGCATTATTTACATAGTTTATGTGTTGATTATGTTCTCGAGTCTTTGAAGGTTCGGTACTTTTTGTACCTTCACAGTGTTTTGCTATGAAGTTCCAGTGCAATTTTGTGGTCTCATGAAAACAGCCTAGTCTCACCTCACGTGAACCCCACCCATTTAGGCAAAGTTCAAATCATCACAGGCCCTTGGTACTACTCTTTAACCCTTCTACTGGGATGAATATAGCAATTAGAGAAGCCAAGTGTACAAAACTAAACAATGATTGCCTTCATTTTACACATTGGTAAGTTTTTGTTTATTTGAGAATATGCAGATTCTAAGATCAAATGATACATAAACTAAGAAACAAGTATTAAGTAAAACAAACATAAGTAGAAAGATTGATTAAACTGACTCTTGGATATGGTTGTTCATAGTAGCTTCTCAGTTAGTCTGATCATGAATGAATTTACAGCAACGGCATCCAAAACAATCCATGATGACTCAAACAGCTCATGGAAGAACTCGGCTCCAGTCTCCTCAGCCGTGGTTCTGAATGCAATCCCAAATGCATTTCCTTGAACTGCTCCAAGCCTCGGTTTACCACAAACACCAACAATCAAGACCTTCTCCCTCCCTTGAGTATAGCAAACACATATCAAAGGCTTCATTTTCGCCCCCTTTTCCCTCAAAGCGTCCATCAAGAAATAGCCAAACTTAGTTAAAGCTTGTGGGTATCCCAGTAGCTTTGCATCGGCTGAATCTTCAAGCTTTACCCACCTGAATTTGCTTCCACTCCTTATACAACCCTTTCTGGTTATGGCAGTGCTTCCTTGCCTAAGAATTGCCCGTTGGATCTTGATGGCATGTTTCATACCCGTTTCCAGCTTTTCAAGCTTCCTCAATGATAAAGCATCGTATGCCTCCCCAAACTGCTTGGAAGCACATGAACTATTTGAATTTGAATCAATAGAAGACTCTAATAATGCAGTAACTCCATAAACCACATCTGCAGCTGAAATTTTTGAACTATAACCATGCAACAACAAGAAACCTCGATAATAGAAGTCATTCAGTCCGTAATCTGGTAGAAAGTGCTCAAACATATCTTTCATTTTCCGCTTAATCTCAACACTCATGTAGCGGAACTTCTGTTTAGATTCCTCTAATGCAAACCCCATTTGAGCTAAAAGCAACATGAGCTTCTTAGTGCCATTATCACTCCAAGTCTTCAACTTTGTTGCCATGTACGAAGAACACAACATCGAATCAAAGAGATTCCATTCTTGTAATAGCATGAGCCTGGGTTCATCTTCGTATGCGATTCTTGAAGCATCAGGTGCACAAACTTTGGTTCCATCTTTGAGAGTTACAGAAGTAACAGCATCTAAATTCCCTGAACTATTAATGTGCTGTTCGAGCTCCATTACCCCAGCTTGGTACCTTTCGTTTGTTAATCTCTCATGAACAAACTGATCGGTCAAAGCCACACACGCCAACCATAGCAAGTCGTTAGTGTTCTTCCTCAAGTAATGAGACAATTCGTACATCAAACAACCCGATGGCTTCCCATGGAAAGTACCCATATGATAATACTCTTTCTTAAGCTTCCTGAAAAGCTTCAACGGGTTGGTCTCACCATCCTCAGAAAGCCGCCTCTTTTTCCGACTCCCATTTCCATCCTCATCACCATCACTTTCATTCTCATCTTCACTATCGGACTCATCCTCTTCCACCTCATCATCGCTGTTTAAATCACTTGCGGCCGCCAATGCCGAAACATCAAAATCGAAAGATAGATCGGCTTGATTCTCATCATCCCCAGTGTAAAGAACAACTACCCTATCATTTTGATGATTAAGATTATGGAGATGAATTGGGCGGTGACTGTCCACCACAAAAACACGGGCCACAGGTCCTATTTCTAGAATCTTCCTGAGATCCCTATGGCAGCCCCAATTTATCAAAAGTATAGTAATTGGGTCGTCAGATGCAGAAGATAAACTAGGTCCAGCATACTTATGAATCTCATTAAAACTAGAAACGGGGTAACATGCGTATCTAACCGAATCAGATTCTAAAACATGGCCGATAATTTTCAAAGCACAGAGAGAATCGACATCGGAAGTAGATGGGAATATGAGCAGAGGGGTATTAGAAGCTGAAGCCAAAGCAGATTCACGCAATTTACTATAAAAAGATTCAATACTCTGCTCTCGGACCATAATTTCTCAAAATTTCAAGAACAAAGATGAGATCTTTTGGTGTGCTAGCTAGTTCATGAAATAACTAAAACTGGTAGATCAGGACCTTGAACAAAAATTAGGGGTTTCCAATCTGAGAGATTCGGATTCAGTAATTTCACAGAATAATAGACGATTGAGGTGTGAAAATTGGTACCTGGATTTTGTGATTGAGATGAATCGATGATCCGAAAACCCCTTAACAGATTGAAATAGGGAAATGGTGAGAGAAATATGCGAGCTTTTGCTTTGAATTGAGCATTCCATTGTTTTCGTTTGAAATTTTTGGTTTGGCGCTGAAATTTCAGATTTGTGGACTTCGGGTTTCACCTTTTTTATTTATTTATATATACATTTATTTTTACGTTAAATTATATAAAAAATAAACGTAATTTAACTGAATTTCTATTTTTTAGATGTATTCAAAACTTTCATTTTGATATCTAATATATATAAAGTTTTAAACATTTAAGTATCTGGTTAACCGGATAAGACTAATTTTAGATTAAAAAAATTTATGTTATTAACCACGTTGGCAAATAATATTGAGTTTGATAGCACATCACTAACCACATCAGCATGATAACGAATTAATGCTTCAACCAGTTACCCGAGTACTTAAATGTTTAAAACTTTACATCTTATATATCCAAATGAAAGTTTTGAAAGTATGTTATCCAAAATAGGAATCAAGTTAAAATAAGTTATTTTTTCATGCAATTTACTCTATTTTTTAAGATCCAAAAGCATCAACCTTAGTTATGTTATTTTAGAAATTTTAAAAAGGGCAAATTGCATGCAAAAGTAACGTACTTTAATTTGATTCCTATTTTAGGTAACGTACTTTCAAAACTTTCATTTTGGTAGCTAATGTGAAGTCTTAAACATTTAAGTACCCGGGTAACCGGTTGAATCACTAACCAATTATCATGCCGATGTGGTATCCAACTCGGTATTATTTGTTAATGTGGTTAGTGACATGAGTTTTTTAAATAAAAAATTAGTCTTCAACCGGTTACTCAAGTACTTAAATGTTTAAAACCTTACATCTTAGGTATCAAAATGAAAATTTTGAAAATTTGTTTTTCAAAATAAGAATCAAATCAAGATACATTACTTTTACATGCAATTTGTTCTTTAAAACGAAAACACTTCTATTTTCCAGTCTATTTTAATTAATACTTGATATATTTTTATAAATACAAAAATTGTTAAGAGTTATATCATTATCTGAATCATGTGGAACAATGTTTCATGAAAATAATTGGTGTGACGTGGATTAAAATCGGTTGTTAAATAAAATTTGTAAAATAAATACGACAATCGATTGTTTGTTATATTAATTAAGCAAAAATTCGCAAATAAACCACAAGGGTGGTGTCTGATTGTTTTGAGCTTGACTCCAAAGATCAAAAGTACCAGGAGATTTCAAGTTCAAATCCAAGGAGGATTAAAATTCCCCTTGTGGCCACGGATGTTCAAATGCGTTGACTTCGAGCTATCTGTAAAGTAGGTGGTTGCCCTGGGATTAAGCGGTTCGTATAGCGGGTTGGATATTCAGGTTAATCAAAAATTCGTAAATAAAAATTAAAGCATATTTTGTTATGTTTATACACATTTTACCTTTTTATGATGATATTAAATTTTAAAACTTCATAATTTAATCTTAAAAGTTTGTCAATTTTATGTAAGTTTTATTTTATCATCGCATGTTTTTTTAATGAATATTTGATACTGATATAAATATATGGTGTGATAAAATTTGAACCGTAATTTGATAACTAAAACCAGCAAACTACACTGCATGGTGCAGTTTGATAAAAATGCAAATTGTATTGAGGAAGGTTTAAATCGTGTTTTACAGTGCAGTATGATATGAGTGGTTTCTGCTTTTAACGGTTTAGATGAACACCTCTAACTATTAGCATATCATATATTGGTTTTTGAACAGAGACCCCAAATTTGTGGGACCCAGTATTTACTTATGTTTGTAGTCCTGTAATTCCGGATTTATATAGCCCAACATGTGAATCCACTTCAATAAAGAACTAGATATTGTTTGTTTAGTATGCTAAATACAACTTCATAATTATAATAAAATAGTGATAGATTGTCTAAAAGTTCTTTCACGATATTTCCATATATTATTGCTTAATTTACAAATATTATATAGATTAAACACAAAGACATAACCGTCATGGTAGGGTGATAGATTACGTTAAATATAGACATAAAAGTTTCTCATAAGATTGGATAAAAAGGAATTGAAATTCAATCATATGCGGAATTGGATTTATGTATAATTTCTTTGGATTTAATTAGATTCCTTCGAATCACACACCACATAAGATTAAGGGGGTGTTTGGGATTGCTTATTTGAAACAACTTATATTTCTCTATAAAATCACTTATCAACTTATTATAAGTCAGAAAGGTTTAACTTTTTTAAAAACTTCTTATTATCAGTTTGGCACCGATACAAGTTGTTTATCCAATCACTCGAAAATGTTTATCACTAATAGCACATTGAAATAAGTCAATAAATTGTTTTTATAAACAATCCTAAACACCCCCTAAAAGTTCATAAAAGCAATTGTGTTTTATGCATAAAATCAAGACTTGCACACAATTTTCTCATAAAACCACAAACAACGATAAGACTGTTGTTTCTTGTAAACATAAGAGTGGGGACTGGGGGCAGCCATAAGGCAAAAGCTTGAAGTAGTTCACCAAAAGGGTTACAAATGCAATGAAATCCCCAAGCATGGTTGAAGAAGCAGCCAACACACAATTTGTGTAGAAACAAATCATGCATCCATAGATAATATCAAAAATCCAAAACTTGAGTCATTACAAGGACGAATTCAACGTTATCACACTAACAAGTTTGTGTCCCCGTTAACAAGGAACAATAAAAAGCTACCATAAACGACTCAAGTTGTAATTTGTAACCAAAACAACTTCTGATTAAGGAAGACACCATAATAAAGGAAGCACCGATGATCAGTCGCCCTTCCTCCGGAAGGAGCATCCTTCGGTGAGCCTGGCACGGCCACCCGTCGGCTGGCACAACACAGTCTGGCAGTTTCCACATACCACCACAGTTTGAGAGTGGCTAAATACAGTTGTTCTGTTATCATAAATATAACAAAAGATTAGAAAACTGAAATAGAACAGCAAAGAAAAAGGAAACAAGGTGAAACACAAAACACTGAACGAAAAAGAAAATTTATACGAATACTCACATGTTGAAACAACCTTGGCACTTAACATCCTGCACCAATGTGTTTTGTTGGACGTGAAAATAAACAAAAACTCGTCAAGATATCAAAATGTAACATGAAAACAGAAAACAGTAGAACATAGTAAAAGGGATGAAATGGGTACCATGAAGAAAGAGTTTGGAGACTGAACAAGACGTTTTAGCTTGTGCTTCCTCTTCTCCAACTCAGCTGGTGGGTTAAGCAAATCAACATCGTTTGGCAAAACCTATTCGGAATGAATCAATTGTATCATCAAACAAACAGTATAACATATTCCACATTTATCAAAAAAGTAGCATACACATACGTATTGTAATAATTGATACAATCAAACAATGAAAGACTCACCATCTTGTTTCAAAATATATCAACTGATTATGGTCTTGGAAGTTGAAAGATGCAGCTGCACATTAAAACCACCGAAGAATTAGAGACGGTGTTCATTATGGGGTGTGCGTGTGATTTAGAGCCAAAAACGCAAACCAAGCCACTTATGCACAAACAATGTCATACACACAACATAAATCAAGTCCAAATGCATAGCAACATTAAATTGAACTACGAAAAGTGAGACAATGAAATTGGTCATATAGAAAAGTAGTCTTGGCAAAATAACATAGCATCAAAGTTGCATATGTTTACAAATTACAACTTTACATGATATTATACATTTATTCATAAGCTAATGATTTCTAGAACAGACGCTGGGTATGAGCACCTGGGTTAACTTAGATATCTATATATTTTTAACCTTTTACATTTATGCACATTTAAAAGTGAACAGTTGTTACCAACTGAGACCTCACAAACTGGTATAAGAGATCAATATATATATATATATATATATACACATGCATAACCCAGCCAATCTTAAATCGATGAACACTCAGAGAAACTTCAAAAAGAACCAATTCTGTAAATTTCACTATGAATTCGCAAAAATGATCAAATAAACATCCCTCATGTCCTCATTGGGATGTCAACAGAACAGGAATAGAATGGCAGTGCATAATAACATGATGTATATAATAGAATGGCAGTGCATAATAGAATGTCCTCATCGGGTTAATATGCCTCCTTAGAAGCACCAAAAAACGAAGATTTGTTTGAGGAATGGGGCGGTTATTGAAACAAACAAACAATTACAATCGATTGTTACGATTCATAATAACATTGACTCTAAAACCAGTAATGGCGTATAAACATAAACCCAAAACCCAACAATGGCGTAAAAACAGGTAGAATATTGCAGTTCATAAATCAAATGAAAAAAATGAGCGAATTAGAACAGGGAAACGAACCTCGACCGTCAGAGTGTTGGCTGCTCAATGCTCACACTTGAGATTTGAGAAGACGGAGGTTGAGAAACGACCAGAACCCTAAATCCCTAATTTTAATGGGCTTCTGGGCTTTTATTGGATTTGGGCTTGGGCTGGGTTTGCCACTGGACTGAAACACTGAGTGACTGACTTTAGTTTTGAAATATCTATTTATTTTTGGTGAAATTAATTATATTAATTAATTGATAAAAACCGATTATATTTTATGGATATAAACATCAGAGTAAATTACACTTTTGGTCCCTGTATTTGTTACTCACTATTAACTTTCGTCTTTTTTTAGAACTAATTATCGTTTTGGTCACTGTGGTTGCCATTTTTGTTTCACTTTTGGTCCTTCAGACTAACTTTTGTTAAATAGGTTCGTTAACTCAGGGAGTATTTTTGTTTTTTGGTCTTTTTACATTTTCAACTAAACCTAATATTAAGAATAAAACAACACGCGGCCAAATCAAACCAAAAATCCAAACAAAACTTAGGTTGAAGATCTTTAGCTAAAGAAGATGAAGATGACTGGCCGAGACCAAGAGTTTGATTGACTTCATCTTTAACGTCATCACACTAGCCACCACCTCTTCCTTTCATAGCCACCGACCACCATCACATCATCCCTTACCACTAGGGGTGAACAAAAAACCGTCAACCCGCGAAACCCGTCCAACCCAACCCGCTAACAACCCAATTAAATCCAACATGTCAAACCGCTAAACCGCCAAACCACTTATCAGGAAGGTTGAAATTGGGTTAGCATAACTTAACCCAACCCAAACCATTTTTTTTAATAAAATTATGTGTGTGTGTGTGTGTATATATATATATATATATGATATTTACAAAAATTAAGGAGGTGTTTGGGAATTTGGATTGCTTATAACCCTTAAGATCTTAAGCCCTTAGCCCAATAAATCTTAAGGCCTTAGCCCTTTAAGCTCTTAACCTCTTAAGTCTTAACCCAACAGAAATAGAAATTAGAAACACTAACCCTAGTACCTACGTCTCTGCTTCAAGTTACGTATTTCTAAGTTTATTCTTCATCACGAATTCACAATTCACAATTTCAATTTTCAAAGATACCTTCATTCCACGACAAACCTTCCGTCGTCCGTCCCTTACGGCCTTAGCCAGTTAGCCCCTTACGGTTTTGAAATACCATGAATTATTAAATTGTCCATAAATTTAATAAGATTAGAAAGCTAATAATCATAAGGTGATATTTGTAATCAAGATTTAGGACCTGTTTTTGTGTTACTTATAGGGGTTGAAAGGATGACATGTTCCATAAACTAAAAGTTATGTTTCTGGCTTTCTGCAGCTCTCAATGTTCAAGAAGAATTATGACCATCTTCCCAATGACACATACTTTGACATATGGAAATGGGAAGTCTGTTGCATGTATTAAACTTTTGAAATTTGATTCCAAGACTTGAGGATTTAGATATATTTTTTGGATGATTGTAATAACTAATGACTTTGTGGGGTATATTTTTAGTATTATTTATCATATTTCATTTGCCAATTTTATGAATTTTAGTAACTCGTCAACCCAACCCGCAAGGTTTGGGTTGGGTTATACTTTTGAATTGGTTGGGTTGGGTTGAGAATTTTCAAACCGCCATAATTGGGTTGGGTTGTAAAAATGTCATAAACCGCCCAACCCAACCCGTGTTCACCCCTACTTACCACCCACCGTCGGCTACCCCCCCCCCCCAAGTGTTATCTCTTTCATATCTGAAAACATGATGCAAAGAGGCGAAACCTATGTCGTAAGTCGTAACAACCATCAAATGGTGATGTACGGTGTCAAAAACGTGATGCATAGTGTTGGGTTTTCGACTGTGAATCTTCAGAAACAAAAAACATGGTAAACAAGGACGACCTAATTTCATTTGTACACTATGATGCATCATCTCCTTCATCTCGAACCCTAACCCTAACAGAACCTTGAATATGGGTTTTCAATTAAGGGTTTTGTTCCTGTATTATTTAGATTTATGTTTCTAAGTTTAGCGTTTTGAAATTTTTTTGGTCACAAAAATATTTGAATGAATAGAACAAAGGTCTGGTTTATATTATTGATAGTTAATGATTTTTGTGTACTTGATGATATATGTTTTTGTTCTTTGAAGGTGAATGTATTATTTTTTTTTATTTTAAAACGTAAAAACACTAAAAAGACGAAAATACCTTTTGAGTCAACGAACCTATTTAACTGTAATTAGTTTGAGGGACCAAAAATGAAATAAAATGACAACTACAGTGATCAAAACTGTAGTTAGTTCAAAATACAGATGAGAGTTGATAGTGGGTAACAACCATTGGACCAAAAATGTAGTTAACTCTAACATAATGTAAAATTTAGTTATCATCGAGGTGTTTTATTAAGGGGCCGTTTACCAAATGTTTATCCGAGTAAACGCTTACCAAATCACATTACATCATAGAAAGAATACGGTAAGCACCAAAAATATTACCGGGTAAGAGCAAGACAAGGACCAGAGTCTTACCCGGTAAGCAAGGGCAACAACTCTTACCACGGTAAGTGCTTACCCGGTAAATTGTTGCATACGGTACCTTTTTGATAGACTAAATTTTACTCGATAAGTAAATGATATAGTGTTAATTTTTGCCAATAAACACTTACCAGATAAGTGTTTGATAAATGGCCCATAATATTTGATATATTTTTTTTAAAATATAGTAACAACAGAAAATATGTCATATGTGTTTTAAACAAATATTAATAATAATTGTTGAAACAAATTTTATGGATAATTTATATGTTTTTTGGTTATATCACTAAAATATCAATAGAAAAAAATTTATTCTGACTCCAGATTTACCTATAACATCTTAGATTAATCATACTAGATATTGTTCATTTTGTCCATATTTGTACTCACAGTTTTAAAACACGTCTAGATGATATTCAGTCCCTCATAAGCCAACATTTGTTCCTGTCCCCGACTGATGTGAGATCTCACAATTCACCCTCTTGGGAGCCCAAGGTCCTTGTTGACACACCAGTACGTTTCCCGGCTCTGATACCATTTGTAACATCTCAGACTAGTTGTACCATATATTGTTCATTTTATAAAAAAATAAACAATACTGAGTTTAGATTAAAAAAATCCATGTTACTAACCACGTCGGCAAATAATACTGAGTTGGATACCACATCAGCATGATAACCGATTAATGTTTCAACCAGTTACCCAGATACTTAAAATATTTAAAACTTTATATTTTAGACACCAAAATTGAAGTTTTAAAAGTATGTTACTTAAAATAGAAATCAAGTTAAAATACGTTACATTTTCGTTCGTCTCCATTCTCTGTTCTTCTTCCTTTCTTCTCCCGTTCGCCATAGCTTTCGCGAAAACCCCTAGCTTCAAGATTATATGGAACTATGACCAGGTACTTTACAAACATCCATTTCATCCATTTTCCTCCTAACCTTCTCCGAATCAACGTAATCGCCCACACCCGAGAAAATGTTCGACAAAAGCACATAATCACCGGAATAACGTCTCTCTATTTCGAATATTTTGCTTGTGACTCTCTTCCCCATCTCGACGTTATTATGGTAGCTGCATGCCCCAAGAAGTGTCCTCCAGAGGATGTCCGTAGCCATGTCTGTTGGTACCTCCAAAGCCATTTTTTCGGCTTCTTCCAGCCTCCCTGCTCTAGCCAACAAGTCAACCAAACACCCGTAATGCTTTATATCGGGAACAATACGAGAATCGTCCACCATTTTCTTGAAAAACACCAACCCTTCTTCGACTAATCCGCCATGGCTGCAAGCACTTAGAATGCTCAAGAAAGTAATCCGATTAGGCTTCATGCCCAATTCCTCCATCCTTCTGAAACTATCCACAGCTTCCCTTGCCATTCCATGCATTGCAAACACAGAGATCATGGACGTCCATGACACTAGATTCCTTTTCTCACTTGCTATACTCTCGAAAACTTGCAAAGCGTTCGCTATACTTCCGCATCTTGAATACACATCAATAAGGGCATTCATAACGCGTATATCTGTTGCATAAAATCCATTTTTCTCTCCATAAGCGTGAACCGATTGACATAATTCCAAAGACTCAAGATTCCAAATCGCTGGGCAAACTGCCAAAATGGTTATCTCGGTTGGCTTGATACAACCGCTCAATGCAACCATCTGTCGAAACAACGACAGGGCTTCCTTGGATTGATTCGCTCGTGTGTACCCATCAATCATACCGCTCCAAGAAACAACATTCTTCATCGGCATTGCATCAAAGAAAGACCGTGCTAACACAATTTCACCCTGTTTCGCCAACCCCGTTACCAAGACATTCCAGGTGACTAAATTTCTCTCAGGCATTTCATCGAACACTTTCCTACATTCGTGTAAACACCCACAAACAACATACATATTAACTAAAGCAGTTTGCACATAAACATGACTCTCGAACCCGAATTTGAACGTCATGCAATGGAGCTGCGCGCCGGACATCGGTAGCTGTGAATTAGCACAAGATTTGATTAAGAAAGCATATGTAAAACTATCGCCGTAAAACAGTGTGGTGGGGTGAAGGTGGTGCTTATAGAGCAAAAAAGCTTCTTCCGGGGAATTCCCAAGTGAGTAATGGCGGAGGATGGTGGTCCAGAGAGTGATGGGTGGTGGATTGTGGGTTATGGCGACGGTGGTGACCAAATGAGCGTGGATTTGTTGAATGGATCGGCGGTTGGAGTGATGCTTGTGTAGTAACGATAACAAGTTGTGGTGGTGTTTCCTCATAGGAGATTGTGATGGAGTCCGTCTGCACCGTCTTCTATTCAAACTTCAAATAAGACCATCCACATCCCTGCAATTCATTTAACTTTCAATTGTGTCACATCAACTTTTATAATTATTTTCCACCCACCTGCAATTCACCTACAATACTTTCAATTGTGCCACGTCACCTACACTTTCAAAAATGGTCCCCACTACAACATTTATTAACTATTTTATAAATTATTTATATATACATTCTAATTATTTTTTAATTAATAACATGTTTTATTTTAATTCAATGTTAATTAAAACGATTAATATATAATATAATATGATATAATTTTATATATTAGATTATAATTTTATGTAATTATAAAATTTAATGTTTAAAATAATTTAATTTATTATATAATTAATGAATTAAAAATATATTAACATTATTAATTTATAAAATTAATTGTTTTGTATAAAAATAGTTTATTTAAATAATTAAAATAAAAAAATAAAATTGGAGAGAAGTGAGTGGGCCATGTGGCTTGCAAATTGACTTGCAAATTTTGCAAGTGAAATCCTATGTGGCACAAAATTGTATTTTTACAATTGCTTTTGCAATCCATTTGCAAGCCCCATGTGGGTGCTCTTAATATATGTTTTTGTTACAGATTATTAGAAGGGTATTCGTGATATATCATTATTTTAATATTTTATTTTATTTTTTATTTTTATTAATACAATATGATTTTTAGTAGTTTTGAGAAATTGACAATGTTTTTATTTTTTAATGAAATATAAATTTAAAAATATGATAAAATTTTCAAAAATAAAATATATCGATATTAGTATCAAAGTTACAATTTAAAGTTTTTGTTTTTTTGTGTAATGTTCTTTAGGATTTGATATTTTATTTATAATTTAATTTAGATTTAATAACGAAATAATTTATTTATCGTTTAATAATATAATGTTTTATAACGATAATAATTAATGATTATCTTAATTATATTTTAAATTTTTTATATTTAAAATAAGATATTTATCTCGTATTTAATTATCTTTATCTAAAGTTAGTTATACGAATTAAAAAACAAAACTTTAATAAGTTATATTTACGTACAATTTACTTGTGAACTTGAATTTTAAGTAATATGCATCAATAAACAGTATTTTACGCATAAAAAATAATTTTTAAGAGTTTTTGTCAAATATATTATAATATAGTATAAATTTATTAGAGTAAATTAAAAATTTGGTCCATGTGATTTGGTGGTTTTTACGAAACTGGTCCCTCAACTTCATTTATTACAGATTAGGACTTGTAATATGTCGTTTTATAACAAACCGGTTCATCCCTCTAACGGCCATTCAGTTCCTCCGTTAACGTTGAGAGCATTATTCTCTTTTTCCTTGTTTGTCTTTATTCAAAGAACCAATTTCGTAAAAAACACACAAACCACAGTGACCAAATCTGTAATCAAGCCTAAAAAATAAAATTATATTAATTTTTTTTTCTTTAAGTTTATTAAACTGATTAACTATTATATATTTTTTAAATATGTTACGTGTAGATATGCACATACACTTGCATACATATGTGCAAAACACACATACATATATAGAGGAGCGATCAAATATAAACTGTCCCAATTTGTACAAACCTTACAAACTAATTACAATCAATCATATAAATCCATTTTTTTAATTTATAAGGGTAATATGGTCATTTAAATTTACAATAGCTATGTTTGGTAATTATTTAATATTAATAGATAAGTTTGATAACAACATTATATTTATATAAATATGAATGATATATTGATTAACACAATATTAACAAATATTTAATTGAGGTATCCATTAAATTTCTGAGAAAAAACATTTTTAAAAATGTAGAATAATTTTGTTTAAAAAATCGCCACTAATTTCCAATAAAACAGACTCAAACTGTTCAATTAAACAAGGTCATATATGTTTGCATTATGTCATATGTATAACAACTATAATGAAACATGTTTATATTCATAGATATATATATAATAGTTTGTAATGAAACAGGTTCATATATATAACAATTGTAATGAAACAGGTTCATAGGTCATATATGATTCCATCAGATTCATATGCATAATAATTGTAATGAAACAAGTTTATAGAACATGTTTTCCCCGTTTCTTTACTTATTTACTTTGTTTCAATCTTGACTTTTAATCAAAAAGATGGATGAATATGATTAATTTGTATGAAATAGATTGGTTTGCGAAGTAAACCTACTCTATATATCAATCATTTATTGTTTCAACAAATATGATTAAATAGAAGTCTGCAATAATATTTTTTTCAATTAAAAAATCTTAGCTGTCAATTTTTTATTCGAAAAAAGAAAAAAAGCATAATTTGTAAAATAAATTACACCAAAAAACAACCATATTTTTCTCACTATTTTGACATCGATATTGATATATTTTTTCATCCGGTTTTATGTGTTTTTCGGTTTTTCATTTATTTTACGTTGAGAGAGAGAGTTGAGTTTAGGGAAAAACGATAAATAAATGGAAAAACGGATGAAAAATAATATATTAATGTGGTGTAATTTATTTCGCTCGAGTTTTGTTTATATTTCGTTTTCCTAGAATAAAAATTAGAGGTGGTGAGGTTTTTTAATTTAAAAAATATTGTTATATACGTCCACTTAATCTAGTGATTGATGAAGGCAAATTTCCCGTAACTAATTTATAGATTGGTCCCTGTATTTGTGGACCATACTCATAATTTTTTTTTTACATTTTGACTTATCTACAAGTTGAAGAGTTGCAATTGCGAATGCAATGACATTTTGAAAGAAAAATAACTAAAAGGTAAATTTGTTTGCCCGACTATTTTTGTTAATTTCTCAAATATCAATTATTTAAAATCACTATTAATTATATCAATTATTTTTATATCATATATTTTTAATTATTATTCAATATGTTTAATTATATAACAATTTTAGAAATGTTTATGTATTTAACATTTAACTATTATTAACCAAAAGACCTTTAGCCTAGCGGTATTATAGCTCTTGGCCTTCTAAAAGGTCAGGGGTTCAAACCTCACCATAGGTGAGAAGGGTGTTTGAGTTTATTTGTTGCATTTGTATATATAAATATTATATACTTCAAAAAATAATTATTATTCAATGGTTATTTACAACCTTTATCGACCCTGGTTGTCTAACAGGTTTTGTAACTGGATTCTTCAATTGTTAAAGATTGTAAATGCACGAGTTGGATAATCAAACAATAACAAGTATTTTGTTTAAAAAAAAAATAAAGAAAACACAACGAGGCATGCATTGTTTTAGAAGACAATGAAAATAACGTGTAAACGCGTCTGAGTTTTTAGCGAGCTACTCAAAGCTCAAGCTGGTTTCTCTCGAGTTCGAGCTTAATAATTCTCGATCTCAAATCGATTTCGAACATAAAATAGAACTCGTTTAATTTAACAAGTTGAGCTTCATAAAACCAATGTTCTACTTGACTCATTCGAAAGCTCGATAATTTTTTCGAGTCAAGTCGAACCGAGTCATTCGAGCAAATACTTTTTTGAGCCAAATATACTCATATACATAAATAATACAATAAAAATATAAAATTATCAACCTTTGAGCCAATAAACGAGTTAATCGATCGTGAGTACGTACCCATAAACGAGCATCAAGCTCAAGCTCAATAACTAAAAAATATTCGAGCTCGAACCCTACATTGAAAAAGTAATTCGAGCTCGAGCCGGGTATAATTTTTTCGAACCGAGTTAGAATACTCTACTATTCAACTCACCTCAACTCATTTATGTACCAACTTAAGATAGATATAAAATAGAGGTTCTTTCGTATCCATACCTATTGCATCCATAAGACAACCATATATATTCATGGGTGTACCTAACCTGCCTTCTTGCTAGATCTATGTTGGGGGGTTGGAAGTAGCCACTTTAAAGACAACAAGGTCCGTTTTGCAAACTTGGTCAAACCTTAAGGGGGGTGTAGGGATTTAACCAAAAGAAATACACCACAAGTTGCTCAACTACATAAAGACTGGAGATAAGGTAGCCCAGTGCACCAAGAGATGGGATACTGCATTCCAGGAACCTTAACATCTCCTCTACCTCCTTCAAATCCAACACACACCAAATCACTCAGATACACTCTTTCTGCTTCCATTCAGAGAAACCAAATCCCACTGGTAATTTCTAGTACTTTCACTCAAATCCTCTTCTTATGATAGTCTCAGGGACTGTTTACTTTTTTGGGCATTAACCCCTATATGGGTTAAGATAAAAAAAGTATTGTTGTTTGAGAGAGGCAAAGAGAGGGTTGGATTACTTTTTAGGGCATTTTTGGTATTAATTTGTTTGAGGCGGCTTAACGGGGACAAGTGAGGGGTCCTGGCTTATTCCATATAGCCATTTTGGCTTAATAGCTTAATGATGAAGCCGTAAAGGAATATGGCTGAACGAATAAGCCGCCTAGACCTTTAAGCCGTAAGGAAACAACCCCTTGGAGTCCCACATTGGAGACATCGACCATTTCTCCTCGATATACGTTGGGACCTTCTTCCTCTCCTTGAGGGCTCTTTTAGAGAGTACATGGGGTTCCACATATTATCTCATATTGTATTAGGGCAGGGCCAAGGTCTACCACTCTATGGCTGACACTCTAGGACAATTTATGCCTGTATAGTGCAGCGGGCGTGTTAAAGTCCCAGATCGGCTAGATTTAAACGGTTTCTCCTTAATATATGTTAGGGATGGAAGGGCAGAGTCCTTTGATGTTCCCCAGTCAAGAATTGGGGATCTCTTTACTTGTATGACTTAGATGTCTCGTATTTCTTTCTTCGTTCATGGTTCGATATTCTGGTGTGGAATCTATCTCGGTCCATGGAGTGAGTACTAATCATTTGTGTCGTTCAGATAGGGAAAAAGGTAGGAAGAAGGCTGATTCGAATATCGACAGCAGAAGGGAAATGGCAAGGAAACTGGAATGCTGACTATAATTTCTCACTCCGAGATCTTCGGTTGGATGATTTAGTTGAAGATGACGATCCTAATGATGCACGAGTCTTTGTTTCTCTATCCATTCATAGGGTCTCTCTTCTCTCTTCTATATTTATTGTGCTTAGTAAAAATGACATAAATATGCGTGTTTTACCAGCATGCAGGATTTGGGCTTTCGGTTGATGGGACAATTGACACATCTTTCACCAGAAAGTGTAGCAACTGCTCTTCCCCTTACTGCAGACAGGCAAATAAGATGCTTCCTTTATTGTTCTCAAGAGATATGCCATTAAACTTAATACTCGAAAGTCACGTGCTTATTCATTCTATCTGTTGTTAGATTACAACCAACTTCAATGTCTGGGTTCTCCCGTCTGCCAAAGATGGCGACTCAAATCAGCTACCTGAAATTGGCGGCGACGATCCATCAGTATCTCTCTCTCTCTCTCTCTACATATGTATCCTTAGGGTTTATACATGTATATAGATTCACATATGTATGTATATATACACACAGAGATGTTCAAATGAGAATTACAATAAGGTTAAGAACTTGAAAGTAGATCTCATCCAAGGGATGTGATTAAGATGATGCTTACAGCTTTTTAATTCAAAATCACCCCCTCCCTATCTTTTAATCGAAAGATAACCAAAACTTGAGCCAAATTATACAAAAAAGAGCATTTTATTTTCTTTATTTTGACATCCATATTGTTATACTTACTCATCCGTTTTTTCGTCATTCTCACATTCTCAAGCTTTTTTGTCATTCTCATTTGAACATGCTAGTATATATGTATGTATGTGTGTCTATATATGACTAACAGACTAAGTGCACGTGCACATGTGCGTTTAAATCTCTCTCTGCCTCTGTCTATGTCTCCATCTATATATACATGTATGTGTGTATACACACATAATAGCAGGCATGAATCCTGAGAAAAGAGGATTTGAACATGTTGCTATGTTGCAGGTCATCTATGTGAAACCTGGATGTGAAGCAGATCTCGACTCATTAATACAGGACACAATTAGGCTCACTACTTCCGTGAATGTAAGAATGGCAGGCAGGCATATATAATGCTTTACTTGTTCCCCAAAAAAATTTCCACTTAACTACTTTCTATTTGGTTTTTAGGGAGCTTGTATAATCATATTTTGTCATTTAGAAAGTACTATGAAACAGAAACAAATTCAAGATATAAAAACTAATTCCATCTATTGGACTTTTCTAGGATGCAAGAGGTATAATAGGTAAGAACTATTTTAAACAGGATCGTTGTCTGTTTGCAGGAAACATGTTCAGATTTTTGTGAGAAATCAGAACTCGGGTTAAGACGTAAGTATCAAATGGTGAAATTATGAATAAGTGACAGCTATGGCCATACACCAAAAAGGGAAATAAAAGAGTGTAACTACTTACGTTTGTAGAGCAAACCTCTTATCTGCAGATCTTTACTTCAATTGCAGATGTAGGCAATGCAAAGGCTCCAACTGTTGATAAGAGGTGGTCCAAGTTATTAGAGCTAAAGAAATCATATCAATAAACTTAATACGGTCAGTTATTCCTTACGATCTTGAATTGTATATTCAAATGAAAAGAATGCTGTGCTTGTTAAACAGAGACAAAGTTTATCTAACCTTTTAGTTTTGCAGCAGATCTATTTGAAGCCCAGAAAATTGATTCAAGCACAGCTGCTATTTTCAAGAACAGGAGGATAATACTTTTTTGTGGCACTATGGGTGATCTTCCGGCTCCCAGTTTCAGGCTGCAATGCTATGATGTGTATATATCTGCCAGGATTAGCCCTTTCATCTTGTTTATTGTAATACACAAAATACTCTATACAAAATGAATAATTGGATATCTGCTTGTCATCTACGTTCCATTATCTTCAAAGATCTGTTCCACATTATTAACTTAACGTGTTATCGAAGTTAATGACTAGACTTGGTTAGTAAATCCACATTAAAACAAGCTAGATAAAAACTAGAAGTGCAAGGAAGCATGCAAGCTAACAGAAACAAACAATTAACTATACAAGACAAAATTAACATGGGTTTCCAACTACCATTGAGGAAAAAGAAGTGGAGCAGAAAGAAGGGTGACAAGAAACATCCAGCATTTTAAACTTTCTATCTAGTTGTAATTAATCAAATATCATGAAGACAAAACAGTGTTTATGAGTTATGGCCATCTCAGCAGGAAAAAACTTGATGGGGACAACTTAATCCTATGTACAGCTCTTCTCATGTTACAAGTTGATGATGTTAACCTTGAAAAGGTTGTGTAGGCTTAACCTCGTTTAATATCCTGACCCTGGGTCTGGCCACGCTTTGAACATTATGTTCTGTAAACACCAAATCTGTTGCATATGGGAATTGAATCAATCCAAGTGGCATCATGTCACTGGCCAATCAAACTGCTGCACTGTTCCATCATTTATAGTCCACGATCCATCAGTAATCTCGTCAAATAGTTGGTTCCAACCCCATGCTGAATACCCCACAAAAAACCAGTAGTCAGTCATAGACCGATTGTGTAACTTCAGATTTTGTATTAAATTGATTGTGGCCCATTGGTCAAGAAAGTATATGTCTGGTAGAACTTCAGGGTGCTCGTCTCTGGAAGGTTGTCGAGTTAAGGAAACAAGAGGCAGTCCACGTGCACTGACAGGACCACCATAAGATAGGGGTGCCTCTTTCAAGGATTCCAGCCCCTCCTCAAGTTCTGTGATGGAGTCCCAACTGATAAGCTTGTTGATGATCAGACCTTGAAATCCAATACTTCGATTAGCTTTCACTATAAGAATTTTGGATCTGGCAAATGGGTATACATCGAGAAGCTTTTCTGATGCAACAAGTATGGAACCAGGTAGTACTTCATGCCCAGATACACTTAAGTCATATGGCGTATGAAGTCCAATCTTGTTTTTTTCAATCTCTAACTTCTGGATCTGGGTCCTGTCCTTGAGTATAATCTCACGGTTGTCCTTCGAGAGTGAAACATCCTCATGCATAGGTTCTGATGCATCCTTAAAAGGTTTCTCATTCCATGCTCCCTGCTCAGCTTCAGCCCATAAAATACCTACAGCATAGAGAATATCAAAGTTAAATGAAAATTGTAAAAATCCATAACTAATATAGTGATACCACCTCAAGAACGAATATAAGAAAATATATTGCTCATGAATTTACTTTATCTGCATCACTCTTAGAACTACATTAGGTCTACTCTAGGGTTTCTCAGAATGTTCTGTTTTCTGCAATCTCTTCATCATTCAAATTTATTATCCTACATCAAAGTTTCTGGTTTCTTAAAATAGCCAGAGCTAGAGGCACTAGTACTGAATAATATGTATTGAACCCAAGTAAGATATCGTACTCACATATTTATCGTTCCTTGGCAAAGTAACCTATATGGCAAAGAATGAACAATAAAAAAGACCAAGCAAACACTAAACTAAAGATAATAAATAATACTCCTCCGACCAAAACATTTGCAATGTTTGTTGACTGTTATACTTGAAAATGTAGGTTTATATATGAAATCCGCATGAAAAAGTGTTTTACGATGCATATATTAAACTTGGAATCACCTAGCAAAATTGTCCCTTAAAACTGGACGTGCATGGCAGGTAAGTGGCGAGTTTGACATGGTTAGCGGGAAGACTCGAGAGCATCCGGTTTGTTTCAGTTTTGAATGTTAAACGATAGGAACTGTTCAAGTATTGGTTTAGTTTTTATGATGTCTAGTGCTTCCGTAAGTATGCACATTGTAATCATGATCCATCTTTTCTACCAGGTTTATTACATAGTGAAATGTGTACTTCAAATGTTTCCGCAATTACAAATTTACGCTATATATCACATGATTTGCAAAAGAGAGAAATTTGATCATAGCACCCACCTGTGTCTCTATTTCAAGCTGTGGTGTGGGGTGTTACAGAAATAAGAAATTTTGACCAATAAGTACCTTGCTCCTTGTAAATCCACTGAGAATTGCCACCTTGATCAGCAATAAACTTGATAACATTAACGACTGATGTTTCCCCGTCATAAGAGACTGCTTCCTTCCTTTCTGCTGGATATAACAGCAGAGATGGGTAAAGGTCCCTCTGCATATTGAGCACATCAATATGCGTAAATTTTAGAACAGATACAATTATTGATGAATTCTAGTAATAGGCTATTTGTTAAAAGAAGAGGTTAAACTACCAATTGCTACAGTTGGAAGACATTCAAAGCAAACTAACCAGGGTACCAAGCATACAAGCCATGCAAAGAAATTAGTTATAGCATTAGTTAGTTATGGAGACTAACAGGTTGAAATATCAAATAGGTTCAATGATCCAGAGATTGACAAGGGAGGCTGACCTCTTGATCAAACAACTTATGGAGATCAAGGAGATACTAGACAGAAAAGGATCATCAGTTGGTGCCTGATTAAACTGAAGAAGAAACATGATAGAAAGCTAAAGAGGGATGTGATGGACTCTTGACATGATTAGGATGTATGTATGATGAAGTGCTAACTTTCATGTGTGACAATCAGACTAGCACCTTCCACCATCACAATAGGTGGTGGTTCCATTTGGGGAAACTCGATTTGAACACATCATCCTCTGTAGGCAGGCTTACAACGCCATGATACCGAGTACCTCAATACAATTGACAAACGTACAACCCAAAATGATGTTGCAGTGGGACTTAAAAAACTCAGACGAACAATGCAATATCCACACATGAAAGAATGACGACAGTCACCTTAAACGAAGCAAAATCAACCTAGATGAGGAGAACAAAGACTGATGGCATCAGAGGCTGTTTTGTGGCCTATTTGGTTGGACTAATGGTTTGTATCATCATGGGAAAGCATGTATCATTAATCATTCCATAACAGAAAAGTACAAATCAAGGCAACATCCGTAAAACACATAATATAAGTAAAATTTAGAGGTAAACGTTTAACCAAAATTACATAGACGAAGGATCGTGTGAGAATAGGAGTTAAGGTGAGAAGTGTAAGAAGGGATTTGGACCCTTGATCACTTTTAATCTCAATTCAACCCATGAAGTGCGCTTTAGAAAAGAGAATTTATCCGGCGCTTCTCAATAGTGTTGATCTAGTGGAACTATTCAATTATGATTGATCCAAGGGTGGAGATCCCTTCTTACCCTTCTCACCGTAACTCTCATTTTCATTGGAACCCAACCCGATTACATATCAATCCTACGCCTCTAACATGGAACACGGAATACATAAACTCAAGTATTGAATTGAACATACAAATACATAATATAAAACTAAATTTGGGATATACAAGTACCTTGGTCAATGATTTTAGTAGCGAACTACAATCATTTTTTATGCAATCCATCATATAGATCACTGGAAGCTTGGGTATAGTATTATTTATGCCATCTGCGACCACATCTAACCTTCATCAGCAAAATGATTGCATCGTTTATGTAGGCAAATGTTTAGCAATCAATAATAGAAAGTCATACCACACAACCACATATTTTGAGATGAGAATCGACAACAAAAATAAATAATATATAGACATATACATAGATAAAGGGAGGTTCGGGGAAAACCCCAAAAAAATGAGAAACTAAGGAACATCCTGGTAACCATTCATTTGGATGGTATGCACATGTGCATACAAGTAATTAAAGTTGTTTCTTTGTTTTTATGCACATGTGCATGTTATGTACATGTGCATACCGGACAAGCCGTCCAAAATGAATGGTCACTAGGGTGTTCTTCAGTTTTTCCTTTTTTTTGCAGTTTTCCCCCGAGTCTAACCCTACATAGATATGGATAATAACCTTGACAATAATATAGAATTTTCACTCATCTATCCACATTTAGCAGATTACAATCTTCAAGATAAGCTAAAAGTAGTTCCTAGCAATTTGCAATCAGTCTTTTGGCATTCATATGCTTGTTGCATATTAAGAACCGTTATTTGAATGCCTTAGTAATCATCACGCATTTATATATGGAAGAACTATTGTCAATCAACCTAACTCAATTTGAAGGGAGTGCCTCATGACGGGGAGTAGTGGAGTGCAAGGACTATCACCTTGATTAAGTAGTTTTTAGAATTACCTTTGTTTATAGCTTGGAAGCATCTTCTTGTTCTTCTCTCACTATATGTGGAATTTAGATGAGCCTTTACGAGATTGTTATTTGTAGGACAATAAAACAAACTGAGCATAATTTTTCTGATAAAAAAGACTGGATCATAAACCTCACAGTTATGTAATCAGGAAGAAAAGCTTAAGCTCCAACCTCTTCTGGAAACCCATCTTTGGGGAAATCACGTGAGTCGATGGGATACAGGTCACAAGCAACAAAAAAAAATAAAAGGGCCCGTTTTCAGTCAATATCAAAGATGTTACAGAGCTATTCAACGTTGGCAATGCCACTAATTTCCAGGAATCTGTAGCCCAGCATCATAGGACTTGCAACATATAACACTTGAAACTTAGATAAAAGAACATTTGTTTTGACTAGATTTCATCTAATCAATGCGACCGACATGTCAAGTCAATATTTCAACTAGGCAAGTTCAGTATGACAAACCTTTACAGTGGCTGAATTTGATAGATATAACTATGTACAAGAAATATGGTCCAACCGTAAAGGACTCAGCGAACCACTTTGCATATTCAACTTATGTTGGCCATAAATCATCGAACAAAGTTTCTTTTTGTGAGGTGAAAGATTACAAGACAATACGCTCTTCCCTCAATGCTGCCTTATTTTGTACTGTCTTATGCTTTGTTTTTTTTTTTTTTTTTTTTTTTGGAGGGGGGTGGTTGAGGAAAAGTGGAACAAGTGAAAGTAAGTTATCCTGCAGTTATGGGCTATGGCCCCTCTAGAGGTATGGAGAGAGTGTGCATATGAGTTATAAGGATATCCTAGAAACTCTTTGGTAATATACTAATATATATGAAGCTGAATTGCCATTAGTGCTGGTCTGCTGGATGTGAGTAGTTCCCTTTCCCTAATACAAGAAAAGGATAGCAATCCCCCACTCTCAGTCCGGACTTCAGAAGGAGCACCAAATAACTGAAATATCTCTCCACAAAGCTTTGATATAAACCAAAAGACACTAAACTCAGGTAGTCACATTCCCTTCATATTCTTTTTGTATAATAGATGGCCCTGTTCTGCAAACCCATAAGGCATCTCTTATTATTAAAAGTAGTTTTCTCCCTAGATTCTACCACATTTTATTGGTATTATGATTGGAATGGTCAAACTACAGTTACATAGGCGAATTCTAAATATGAGACTGGGTAAAAGAAGAATAAGAGCAATAAGTGCAAAGGAAAAAAGAAGTAAAAAGGTAAAAGATGGGCAAGGAGGAAAATTTACCAAATGAAAATACAAGTGCTATCTACCAGTTGATAAGATACGTAATGAACTGATCTAAATGTGCATACATTTTCTTACGACTTACCATTTCTTGATGAGGATTGCTCATTCCTAAATGGAGTTTTCATCATATTGCCGTAACCCTTGAATGCTCGGTAAACTTCACGAACCACAAGTTCCATTCTCATACAAAACCCACACCAATTACTAGTAAAAAGCACCAATACATCCTTCTTCCACGCATTGTCAGCACTAAGAGAACCAGAGTGGTTACCAACAACCAACTCCATAAATGTAAGAGCACTAACATGGGGTATAGAATCAACCTCATGAAAATCATGATTAATGAATGGTGGCTTTGGAGCCTCTTTCGAGTTGGGAACAACAGGCATAGAGCGTTGATATGGTAGAAGACTTCCATTAAGAAACATGTGAAAAAAGCAAGATAGAGAAGAATAGCTAAAATCAGCCTCTTTGGGATAGACATAATGTTGATGTGGAAGAGGATCAATGATCACCAATGATGGAATCTTCAACACACCAGCTAGAGCTTCAAGTAACCGAAATTGTCCATCGACAAAGAAAAAGGAACCATTGGAACCTGCCAAGTTCAGCCCCTGCAACCCAACTTTCTCATCTTCAATATTGGCAGTTAATTCCTCTTGGTGACGGTCTTCTGTCTTTACAGACAACTGAGCACTTGTCTCAACTGAATTCTTCTCATCATCCTCAGTAGAATGTTCTATCTTAGTATGTCCCGGTAGAGTATCATACGCCCCATGGAGCATATCATCCATAAATGACACCTGATCTTTTTTTAAATCAACATCGCTGCCAATAAGACCTTTAACAGATGGTTCTGCAGGTTTATCATCAGATTGAACCTCTGTTTCTGACATTTTGATATCAATATCATCAGAGAGTAGCTGAAAGCCTACATCTTTAGCAAGTGAACTCAATTTTCTTTCTTTCTTCTGCTGAAGAACATATGCCAAGACTTCTTGCAAGGAACTACCTTGCAGATCTGAAGCAACACCATCAAAAGCAATATGTTTACCCTCATTCATGACCATAATAGAGATCTTATCTTTTAGTGCAGTTAGCTTTTGAGATGATGCTGACATCTCTAGTTTAGGATGCTGGGGAACAGTTTCCATGAAGGGTCTCTCAGGATCGACTACTTTTGGAGCATTCATTTTTGATGGAATATAATTATGCAACGCTAGTTCTCTAAAGACAGTGAGGGATTCCTTGCTCTTTCTTCTAATCTTCAAGGAATCAGATGATCTGTCGATGAAAAGGAGCACTGATGGCTTATCTGAAGGTAAACCAGGATCAAAACCATACTCATCACCTTTTAGCTGAATATCGAATAGACATCAAGAAATCAGCACAAAAATGTCAAAACCTGATGGGAGTTAGAATGGCTGATATTTGTGAAATTCATAGCTCTTCAAGCATGGTAGATGACAGAAAATGAAATTAGCATGTATTATCACTAAGGAGACGCACACTATAAATTAAAGTTGGCATGCAAGAGAAAAAAGAGGCAAAAATGTAGAACGAATCAATTAGCAAAGACTCATCCTCTTCTTGATCATCAATGACAGAACTATCATGATAAATCCCAGGTATTAACAGTTAAAGAAATACTATCCATGTTAGCAAGATATAACTGACAAGCATTTTAGAAAAGACATCACATTAACAAGATATTTGACATATAATATAACTGACAAGCATTCTAGAAAAGACATCACATATTTACAAGATATTTGACATATGTAAAAAACCTCCTTGTTTTTTTTTGGATAAAGAGGCTTAGCATCAAGGTCTACACAATCAGATCCAAAGTCAAGAAAAGTACTTCATCGTCAACAGAAAAATAGAAAGTCAATTAGTCAACCTTCATATCCAACTTCACTATGACAATTTATCACATCAGATGCAGGTGCAAGATCTCATGAGCTACATGGTTAAAACAACATAAACAACACGGGTAGATATAAATTGCACAAGAACGTAATTAATGATGGAGACTTCAACAGGAAAACATAAAGAACAGGACCCAATAAGAGCAAATATTTCATCACAAAGAAAATTGTTCAAAAGTAATTCATCATCAACAGGGGGTCTGATCAGATTGCTGAAAGGCTGAATCTCAATGAACACAGCTAGTCAAAAGGAAATAACCATATGTACAGAGAGCAATCCAATAAATAAACAGTAGCCAATAATGATTGCAAGCAAGCTTATAAACTTGCCTCCATAACAGGTGATGCATGAATCTCTAAAATTCTTTTCAGATCACTTCCTCCTTTAAAAACTTTTGCACAGCTAGGACATCCAGCAGAGTAAAGCATCATCAACCATGAACCAGTAACTCTAACACCTAGAGATGAAATTAGTAATCTCTCAGACACTAGACCAAACTTTAGCCTTTCAGGTGGCAGAAAGAACTCTCTGATAGATCTAGTAAAATTGGATAGGGAAGACTCAATCAGCTGGAACTCCTCAAAACTACAGGAACCTACATCACTAGATCTCATTTTCTCAGCCTCCAAGAAATCACTCTCATTGAGAGGAGAAAATTCACCAAGCCCAGGAAGTCCACTAAACTGATGTTGATTATCAACATCGCAGGTGATCTTTTCATTATCCATCCCCTGTTTCAAAAAAGAAGATATGCATGGTGTTATTACCAGCATTTTCTATTTCTATGTGGAATTTTAGAATCTACTATCCACCTGAATTTGCTTCCCATCAGCCGAACTTGCGTCACTGCTTTCTCCATACAGGCCTGTCCCGAAAGGAACACCTGCATGATGAAGCTTTCATTAGTACAGCAAAATATATCCCTAACCAGAAAGGTCAAATGCAAATGTTCTTTCTCGAATTCAAGATTATTTCCAGAACCAATCATTGGTAATTAGGCTTTATTTTAGGGACAATTATCACATTAATATTGACACTTATATGCTGGTTATTTATCTCCTTAAATAGAGGATTATAGTTGCTACTTTTAAGAAGAGATCATCACTTAGATGTGCGTGTGTGAATATATATATATATATATATATATATATATATCCTTCTTTGGTTTGAATAACATTATTATAGAATAAGTTTATCTCTGTTTTCTTAAGATCTTCATCTTTTGATCCATAAGCTCCACCAGAAAGAATTTGATTAACAAGATGTATAGAATTAGAAAGATCATGGTAAGAATTGCATCATATTAGAATCACGATATATACGGACTTTTCTTCTGTTCTACAATCAAATAAGGCCATTACAACACAACTGGTGGTACGATCCCTCTTCACAAAGAAGCTCAACACAATTAAGCCTTTATTGCAACTAGCTGATGAACATTTAAAAACAAAATTATAACCTTCATTAATTATGCCACATGCACAACATGTCAATTTTGGCATGTTAAGAATCATTAAAATCCTAGAGAAAAAACTGGAATAGATTGTGTTCCTCAAAAGGTATGAACTGCCATTTGTGTAGTTTTAGCATCCGGGCTTCTGTTATGTCGCCGTTATTGTCAGGGAAGATTATGTTCCTCAAAAGGTATGAACTGCCATTTGTGTAGTTTCAGTCATCCGAGCTTCTGTTAGGTTGCCGTTATTGTTAGGGTTTTTTTAGTATTATGATTCTGCTCACAAGCCCGCTACAAAGGGTTTACCCTAAGCAACATACACCAATTTAAACGCCAAATACTTGCAGGGTATTAGAGCTTAGGCTCCCCAACCTAGACAATAACCCTCCCAAAGTTAGTCACTAACAGCAGCTGCCTACTATCAATGTCATTGACATCAGAGCAACTTCAACAACAGCAGCCTGGGCAGGTGCTACCTCCAGCAACCTTCATGAACCTGATTCTGGTATCATCAAGATAGTATTGATTATTGTCTACTGTCACAGGTAAACACCAAGAAGGACTAGTTATTGCCTATGTATCACCTCCTTGCGATATGTTCCCACCTGATGTGATATCATCCAGCTCCAACACAGACAATTCAAAGATTTTAGATCCAAGGAGGCAGCAGAATGAACTTCAGGCTCTTACTGGGAATTAATAAGATCCAACTCAATTACAGCCATGGTTTTAAAAAGCATGTGAGGCCTATGCCTCGAGGCGAAGCAGTCAAAATCGCACCTGAGGCGGCGCCTCTCAGTCCCCAGACGAGGCGTACACCTTGGTTGTCTGAGGTGGTGACCGAGGCAGTGAGGCGGTGGAGAGGCGTACACCTCACTACAGAGGGTAAATTATTAAAAAAATGATTGAGGCCTTCTCGATTTCTTTTTTGAAAACCTTGTTCTTCTCTGGTTCTCCTAAGCCCCATCTGCTACTCGTTTGTTATCCTTTGTGAGTTCCAGTTTTCTCACATTTACTTTGCATTTTCTTCTTCGATTCTTCTCCAGTTCACCAGAGTATTATTATGTACATGTATATACTGGATACACTTCTTTTATATTTAGTCTCTACTCTCTACTATGTGTCACAGTCACACTTTACTCCCACTTTGTTGATATTTTAATATTTTTTTCTTTATGAGCTTGACCATATTAATATATTTAAACACACATATATAAATATATATATTTTTTCAATAATATCAAATATTTTTCTCTTTGTTACTTTATCTATATTTCATGATTGAAAAAAGTGTTGTATATTCTTTTAGTAATCTAGTATGATATATATAATATAATATATATAGTGTCTAGTACTCAAGTGTGTGTGTGTGTGTATATATTGCATATGTTTTCTGTGTATAAGCGGTGGACTGCAGATTGGTATAAATATGCAGTCAATATACATAATGGTATATATATTTCTGCCTCCAGGCTTACACCTTGGACCGCCTTAAGGCATAGCCTTGCCTCATTGAGAGAAAATGCCTTGAGGCCCGATTCCGCCTTTTAAAACCTTGATTACAGCAACAAATAAGGGCATAGAAGTGGAACTGAACAAATCAACTTAGTTGCTGTCACTATTTGAGAATTCAGATCCAACCTCCCCATGCACGGATTGATTCCTCTAGTTGGTAACTCAATGAGGAGCTCCCACTACATCTTCTTTCGAATCAGTAAGAGTTGATTCAATTGCCAATGAAAGAGGTGCAATTCACTCCTGGTTCTAGTTAGCATAGGCATTTATCATCTATCCACTTGACTGCATGCACATCATCCTCGATAATTACCTTACAAGGAATAAGAACATATTGTCTACTATTAAACCACTCACCCATTCCCCTCTTAGAAATCACCACTGAGTCATCATGTCCCATTGAGGTAGTTTCGACCAACATAGCTCCTAGCTTATCCTTACAACTTGCTCTGTATGTTCCAATCTCTCCAAAATCCTCAAATTTTTCAGCCAAATTACAAAAAAACTCAACTATTATATAACATTCTTCCATGTGCACTCAGTGTTTTAAAGAAACGAGCAACTATAATATAACACTCTTCCATGTGCACTGGGTGTTTCAGAGAAACGAGGGACAGAGCAGCTAGAAAGTTACCGTATATGAATCCCAGAGACTGTACTGGTTGGATTATATAAGTTGAGTGGTAATGTGGTATGCCTAAGTAACGCAAGTATTAGGAAGGTTTATTGCCGGTTAGGGCATCCCTCATTGTCCAATCTGAAGAAGCTGAGACCAAAACCTATGTTTGTTTATAGGTTTTGGAGTCACTGAGAAGGCTTGGGGGCATGAAGGGAGTTGAAAGGAGATGTCATTTATCGGAAATGTTTCTCATATGAACATTCAATTTTCTATATCCATCTTAAGGCATTTATTAGTAGCATAGGATCACATATACTAATTTGATGTTTGTGTCGCTTTCTATCAATTAGGAGCAAAGTCTCGATTAATGTACATAGACTGGGAAAACTTAATGATGCTAGTTTTTTTCTTTTTTTTGATTAACCTGGATATCCAACCCGCTATGCGAGCCAACTAATCCCAGGGCGACCACCTACTTTGTGGGTAGTCCGGAGTCACCGCATTTGAACCTCCATGGCCACAAGGGGATTTTTATTCCTCCTTGTTAGCTTTTAGCAACTCTGGAATCTTGAAAATCCATGAATCTTAGAACTTCATTGGTAGCATAAGATGTGTGATATAATATGATTCATTTGAGATTGTAGTTGTCGCTCCTTATACACCGAAACTAAATATGAATATTATGATACCCCTGCAACGTTTGTCATGATAACTCCTATCATGACACTACATCATAACATGTGACCATACAAAATTGTAAGACATCCTTCAAATTAATCATATTATATTACACATCTTATGACAAGATTCCTAAGATTAGGCGACTTCTCAAGCTTTTTAGGGTTGTTAAGAGATAGTATTGTCAAATTTACCAAAACCACACATTTAGTTGAGCCTTTACTAATGATTGCTAGGAGAAACAAGACAAACCTTGAAACAGTGCATGTTATCCTAGGCTACTAATAAAGATGTATATCCATTATTGTATGATTCAAATAAGAAACATCCCAAAAGGTGAGGTCTCCTATTAACTCTCTTATATTTCACAAAGCCATTTAGCAATTTCAAACTGAAACATATTATATATATATATATATATGTGTGTGTGTGTGTGTGTGTGTGTGTGCATGTGTGAGTGTGTGAACATGGGGGGTACCATCTTATAAAATTCAAAACACACACCGGATATCAACAGATAATCAATGAAAAATCTTTGTATTGCTCCAAAAACAAAGAGGTGCCACAGAGCAAGTCAGGTGATAACCTCCCACCTTAGCAATCTTTGGTCATATGCTTATTTTCTTCTAAGAAAAGATGTGAAATGGTAAGAAGGAATACCAAAAGCGTTTTCAGATCCATTATTCATGACCTTGGTCATCAGTTTGGGTGTCCATCCACAGAAATCCAGAACAAGTAAAGCCTTGTCTGTTGACTTAAGGAATGTTGTCAGGTCCTCCGTGGTTGGTAAAGACTTAAAGGGAACTTCTTCAGGCAAAAGTGACATAAGATAATGAACAGATGATAATATGCTCTGAACCCGAAGTGTTCCTCTATAATTGTAAGGCAAAGAATGGCGGTAACAAATAACAGTTACTTCCATCGTAGCACCGAGAGCATCTGCCAGCATCTTATCATGATTTTTGTGAACAAGCATCAACTTCAGAGTTCTGAACTTCTCTTTCTTTTTGGTGACCATGTGGGCTAATTCCTTCATAAGAGATCGAGACTCGCCAGACCCTGGGAGTAAAAATAAGACCCATGAGATATACGATAGCATTATGCATAAATTTTTTTGAATTAATCCACTTTATCTCCAAAAATTCAAACATTCAAGTCAGACATGCATTTACTGAAAATTGCTTGAATACACATATATGCTAAGAAAAGGTGCAAGGACAGAATAGTCAAAGAAAGGAGATACATGCCAAGTCCCAAGGGTAAATCCTTTAGCTTTTAGTAAGGCGGGTCATTCCAACACAGTTTCTGGAGGTAATCCTGAAGTTATTTGCCAATGGAATGTCAGTTAAGGCTTATAATTTCCATCCCCACCTATCAAGAAGGTATACCTTTAACCTTCCAAGTTACAAGCAATTGGAAAGGAGCAACCTAAGGGCAGATGGCTACAGATGAGAAGCCACACTGATAGAATAAAATTGTGACAAAGCAATATTGTTATTATTATAAAAAGCCTAGAGAAGGTGGTCTAGTTTGTCCATTATCTTTCCTGCTTTACTGAATACCCCAAAAAAACAACGTTGTACTTGGAGGGGCAAAGAGTTATGTACTAGAGTCGTCTGTGTAAGTTTTATATATTACCTGATCACTAGTGGTAGTAGCTCTTTCAAAAGGATGCTATATTTGAATAAGGATAAAGGTTGAACATCACTAACTATAAGGATTTTTGTAGTTATACTTATAAATTCCATTAGTTTTTTTAGGTTATTATAATATAATGTACTAAGAGATGGGATAAATTTGCATGACACTTTTCAGTAAGAGACTAGTGTGGGTGCACAAATCCAAATATAACGACTTAAGCAGACCTATCAGGTATTTACTATCATAGAAAACGATCCACATATTTATCTATTACCTATTTGCTTCTTTAATTATATGAATTCATCAATCTCGGTGCAGTGTTAGTATTTTATAAAAACTATTGATGCAGACCCAAAAATTTAAGGAAAATAATTGTGCTATCATATGAGTGGGATTTTGCGCTCTTGGTAACGGGCGTAGCTCATCCTTTGCGAGGGTAAGAAAGTGTTCTCCTTCTATGCTACCTTTCCCCTCTTTTCTACTTTGTGCTTTAGTACTTGTTGTCATTGTACATCACATATGATGTAACATGGACATAAAGCACATCCAACTTCCAAGAGTTTCTTTGGGCATAAGATATTAAGATGATCCCAGAAATGTTTTTGTATTCTTGTGATACACATGGATATTCACAAAGATGAGGTTAAACAGGATCTCTTCCACGTCTAACAGCATTCTTGGATGTGTTCCAAACTTTCTAAAGCCAGGTTTAATTGGTTAACGTGTACAATAGGCCTTGCTAGAGGCCTTAAAATGTCGAAAGGCATTTAGGTCATTGAACTCCAAAAAACTTCTGGTCAAAACATTGAGGACGATATAAGTGAGAATGGATATTGGAGGGGTCATCTAAAAGTTGAGCCACTCATTAGGAACTGATTTAGTATTCATCAAGTAAGGCTAACAACATTATAAGTGCTGCTAGATCGTTATGGAATGAATATAATACCCAACAATAGAGCAGTGACACAGTCATAGTGTGTTGCTTCAAGTTCCAATCCTGTTTAGTCTTCCTCTTTCTTTCCTTCTATGATCCCCTTCCCTCAACCCAGCACTAAGCTAGGCCAACTTTATTCACTCTTCAGACTTCGACTATCTAGTTAAACCAGCTGAAGATTGATTTATTTCAAAACCCCATTATACGATAAAGTTGCAGCAATGATAAATATATCGTATCTGCCAACGAGGATAGGCAGCTGTCATACAACTCCTATATTGTAAAATAAGTGCATGACGTTAACTCTACATATCAACTCAGTTTAACACAAGAAGAATAACTTCCACAGAGCAAAATCAATCCCTAGGCATTACAATTTTATGAATCGCTAATCAAGCCGTTTAGAAAAAAACACAAAAAGATGCAAATCAAATGAGTCCTTTTCAACTTCAAAATCCATGTGGATTCTAAAACTTCTTGAACAATTTGATGACTAGCATAGCTTAAAAGCTGATGGTGATAAACTAATAACCAATCTCAACTTCGTTTTCATAATTACTAGGTTTAACGTAAAAAAAAAAAAATATAAGTATTCTTGTTTTACTTTAGGAGCCGATGATTAAGAGCATAAATCTCATACTATGATAGATATAGTAACAAGCAGGCAAAAAAACAGATTGAGATTCCAATTTGTGTATGAAATGCAGGTGTTAAATCCAATAAATAAACAATTTCAATGGAGATTTAAGAGACAGAATTACATGGCACGGTGACAATGAGTAGTATGTGAGGATTCAGGCGAATTTGGGATGAGAAATTGAGTTTCGTGAGAATTTGCCATTGAACTGGTTCTTCTCTGTTGCTGGTGTTGGATTTGGAACGAACCGAGTGAATTGAAAACGATAAGGATAGGAGGAGACACAAAAGAAGAAGTGGTAGTAGCTCCGATGATGAATAACGATGGAAACGCCGATTCAGAACCGCCGCAGGGTTTCTCATTACAGACAGAAAGAATAAACTGTGACCGGAGGTGACCTGTTTTCGTTCTCGACTGCCCGAGGAGGCGATGAAGACCACTAGAGCTTTAATTCAGGTATACCCGTTTTTGATACGGAACGGTATCTCAAATGGTCGGCCCGACCCGACACCAAAAGATAATAATAATATCTAAAAAAAATACAATAAATTCATAGCATATTAAATGTGAGATTTTGAACAAAGCCTCCAAAATTTTGGGACCTAATTTTACATATTTTTAGAACATTTTCATCAATCTGTATAAAGTTGTAGCTCAAATTGTTAATTGTTTAGGTTTAGATATAAATTATTAATGGTTTAGGATTAGCTTAGGTTCATATTGTTGATTGTTTATGATTAGCATCCTTTTGTACTTAATATATGCGTATGTTGTTATCTCTTATGCAATGTCATTAAAAGTTTTGGATGCAACAGGGCCTCAAAAAAAATTGGAACGTCTCTGGTCCTGATCCCCATTTTTTTTCTTGTTTCCATTGGCCAATATGATCACATCTCCGTCCCTGATGTAAAATGCGATCACATTAGGAGGGTATTCTTTCGTTTATATGATATATAATAAATCAGTTGTGTTAAATTATACATTCGATCCGAAATGATTCATGTTTAAATCTCACATATTTCCAAAAAATATATGGATTATCAAATATTAATAAATGAACAAAATTACAACATAATACGAAACTATTTAGGGACTGTTTACCTAAATACTTATCCGTTAAGCGTTTACCGTTATAATTCAACACTATAATTTATTTTATGGATAAGATCGTAGTACATCGAAATGGAATGATATGCAACAATTTACTTGGTAAACACTTACCCGGATAAGAGTTGTTACCCTCACTTACTGGGTAAGACTCACTCTTACCGGGTAAGATTTTTGGGTCTTGCCTTGTTCATCCGTGAGAAAAATTACCCGGTAAACGCCTACCAAGTAAGCATTTAATAAACGGTCCCTTAATCAAACACTTACAAGTCTTCATATTCTTTTATCTAAACAAAAAACAAGTCAGTAAAAATATATACAAAAAGTCAAAATGTTTTTTTTTGTCTAAATTTAAACACATGCTTAGGGGTCGTTTACCAAACGCTTACACGAGTAAGTGAACACCAATGAGTCGTTTACTAAACGCTAACTTGGTAAGTGCTTATCGGACAATTTTCATCATCGGATTAACATGACAAATGCCAAGAATTCTACATGGTAAGGGTGATGATTATGATGGAGAGTATTACCTGATAAGTGAGGGTGAAGACTCTTACCCGGATAAACGTTTACCGGGTAAATTGTTGCATAGGATACCGTTTTGATATACTACAATCTTATCCGATAAAAATAAATTATAATATTGATTTCTACTAGTAAGCATTTACCAAATAAGCATTTGGGTAAATGACTTCTTATTAGAATTTTTTTAGAGGATTTGTTGAACATGCTCTTTGAGCATTTACATAGAGCTATTTGATGCAGTTTTCTAAGAGGTTTATACAAAAACTTCTCATGCAATCATAGGTTTTTTTTATAATCGTATTTTATAATCGGAGATTCAGCTTCTTATATAAAAATTTAACTACTGTTTAATAATTATTTTATTATATATGGTATTATTAGGGGACGTTTACCAAACGCTTACCCAGGTAAGCACTTATCAAGTCACATTACCTTACCGGATGAATATGGTAAGAACCAAGAATCACGATAAGAGAGAGACAAGGACCGAAAGTTGTACCCGGTGAGTGCGACAATTTCTTACCATAGTAAGCGCTTACGGAGTAAATTGTTGCATACAATGCCGTTTTGGTGGACAAAAGTCTTGTCCGGTAAGTAAGTGGTAGTGTTAAATTTTATTAGTAAACGCTTACCGGGTAAGTGTTTGGTAAACGGCCTCTAAGTCTATAAAATATATTTGTAAATACTAGAAAAACACTCACGAATGCAGCAAACATATATCTTGATTTTAATGTTTCGCTTTATTGCGTCTTCGTAGATGTTATAATACGGTTTTTATGTGGTTTTGATAAAAAGATAATGTTTTTGTTTTTGAATAAAATATAAAATTGAAGATATCAAATATATCAATATCAGTATCAAATTAACTATTTATATTTTTTATGTAATTTATTTAATTAAACTTTTTATTATAATTTAATTTAGATAATAATGAATTAATTTATTTTTTATTTCATAATATAATATTTTAAAATGATAATAATTAAGTATTTTATTAAAATTCAATAATTATCTTAATTATATTTTAGATTTTTTATATTTAAAATAAAGTGTTTATCTTGTATTTGACTATATTTATCTGCAATTAATTACATGAATTCAAACATGAAGCTTTAATAAGTTGTACTTAAGCATATTTTATTTGTAATCTTGAATTTTAAGTAATATGCATTAATAAACAGTATTTTATGCATAAAAATGTTTTTAAAAGTTTTTGTCAAATATTTTGTAATATAGAATAGATATAAACTACAACTAATCGAAAATGTGTAAATTGATAGTTTTCACATATATTTTAAGTTTGACGCATTCATTGTTTTGGTTTTATTCTTAGGGGCCGTTTACTAAATATTTATCTGGTAAATATTTATCGTGCAATTTTTCTCTCCGGATGAACATGGTAAGGGGCAAAAATCTTACCCGGTAAGAACGATGATAAGGATGAAGAGTCTTACCCAGTAAGTGAGGGTGACGACTCTTACCCGGGTAAGTGCTTACCAGGTAAATTGTTGCATAAGATATGTTTTGATGTACTACAATCTTACCCGGTAAAATAAATTATAATGTTGACTTCTAATGATAAATGCTTACCGGGTAAGCATTTAAGTAAACAGTCCCTTAGTTTGATTTATTTTGAGTTCAAATTTGAAATAATTTATATAATTATCCGTTAATATATAAAAATTATATTTATTTCGTTTTATCTATATTGAATATAGTTAATTTAAAAACACTGAAATTACGTACACCTATCTAATAGGTCTAATATTTAAATAATATTTTACCTTTTTTTTAATGATATCATAAATTTATGTTTATCTTTTATTTATTGTTTTGAATATGTTACTGAAATATATCAATTGAAAATTAACATCTAAAACTATATTATAAAACATCTAACAAAAACTTTTAAAAACAAACTTTTATACATATAATATTGTTTATTGATGTATATTCTTAAAATTCAAGATTACAAGTAGAATGTACATTAATACATTTTATTAAAACTCCATGTTTAAATCTGTGTAACTAATAATAGATAAACATAATCAAATACATGATAAACATTATTTTAAATATAAAAAAAAAATCTGAAATATAATTAAGATAATCATTGAGTTCTAACAGAATACTATATTATTATCTTAAAAAAACTATTTTATTAAACCAAAAATAAATTAGTTCGTTATTAAACTTCAATTAAATTGTAATAAAAAATTGAATTATAAAAATTACATAAACGAGAACTTTTAAATAGTTAATTTGATACTAATAGTGATTTTTTTTTTCAAAATTTTATAATCTCTTCAAATTTATATTTTATTAAGAAATAAAAACATTTTCTTTTTCTCAAAACCACATAAAATTGCATTATTCAAAATATAAAACGAAACATTAAAATCAAAACGTATTTCGTTGCATTGTACGAGTACCCTTCTAGTTAATATATATAAAAGAGGAAACTAATAATGATATCTTGAATTTGTTATAAATCATATATATATATATATATATAAACAAATAAAGTTATATATGGATTGATTATGTAACGTGGATTTGAACTTATGATTTATAATTATTGGATTGATGTGTGGTGGATACAAATTGCAACGTGGTTTTTTTTACCTCGAATCTATTTAATTAAACTAGGGTGTTTTATGGTGCAATGCAATGTTTCAGGCCAAAACCATTAACTGCACCATATATGCAGTTTGAGCATTTTACTAAATTATAAACCAGACTGTAAAATATAGCTGTTTATACAATTTGTACCTAGCAATACAAAAATTTTATATAATAATTATAAGTGAAATACAAAAGAAACATTGAAGTAAACAAATTAACCAAAAAACAATCACTAATTATCTTTAATTTAATATCTATTTTGATATATTTTTTCATTTATTAGATTATCTACTTCTTTTAAAAGTTATCTTTTATGTATATTTACAGCAATGTAGATCAATCAAAGATATAATTCAAATATTCATTTTATTAAAAAAATGTTAAAATATGTAATTAAGGAGTTGTTTAACAATTGATGAATGGTTTGATGCAGAATGATTAAGAAGTTAGAAAGATTAAGAGGCTTTTATAATATAATGGAAAATAAAATATAATTGTTTGATAATTGTTTAGAATGAAATTAGGACGCTGAATGGTTAATGGAGCCCCAGATACAAAATCATTCAAAGAATTTTAAAACCATCAAGAGACAGATTTTTTTTAGTCAAACAAGATTCACTTCTTAATGATTCATAGGCTGCCTCTTAATGAAACTATTAAAAGATAAACCAATTATGAATTGCTAACCCTCTGATTTTTAAAATATTTAAACTTCTTAAATAAAATAAACCACTATATAATATTATATATATATATATATATATATATATATATATATAAAAGTTATTATGCAACTTTTTACATTTGTACAACCAATACAGTTCAATCTCAACCGTCCATTTAATTTGATGAATATGTTATTTCATAAAAGTTTTGATTGTTTCCTAATATAAAATATTGATCATAATTAATTAACTCTAGTCATCTTTCATAAATATTTAAATCATAATAAATGAAATCTCATTATTTCCATAAATATCTCAATTGATTGGGTTGCATTAAATGTATAAATAGACATGGTTGCATTTAAAATATACCCTATATATATATATATAGGGTATATTTCTTTTACAACCTTGTGTATTTGTAGAATCCTTGCAACCCAATTAATTGAGATATTTATAGAAATGATGGGAGTTCATTTATTATGATTTGAATATTTATGGAATATGAATAGAGTTCATTAATTATGATTAATACTTTATATTAGGAAACAATCAAAACTCTATGAAATCACATATTCATCAAATTAAATGGACGGTTGAGATTGGGTTGTATTGGTTGCACAAATGTCAAGGGTTGTATAATATATATATATATATATATATATATATATATATTATATTAAACATAAACATAAAAAATTAGGGGAAAAAACAGATTGCCATAATACTTGAAAAGATTCAGTTTCCTTTTAGGAGTAGTATTCTCCAGTTACCATAATTCACTACGTATCTTAACCCATAATAATTCTTGATAATTATAAATACCCACTCCACTCATCCTCAAACAAACAATTAACTACACACATTAATCGACTACACTCCAGCCATGCCCATCAACATGAACACAACCCCCACAACACAACCTCCTCCTCCTCCTCCTACTACTACTAATAATACTAACTGCACCATCATTAACCATTCCCCGGAAATCTCAGCTTCTGCAAACTCCACTTCTCCGGCGGAAAATTCGGGTTATCGTCGGTATGAATGCAAGACTTGCCGAAAGCAATTCGATACTTTCCAAGCACTCGGCGGCCACCAGGGAATTCACAGAAAGCTCATACACAATGAAGATGCCTGTTCATTAAGCCTTCAAATAGCTGCTGTTCCTAAATTACACCAATGCAAGGCGTGCATGAAGAAGTTTCCTACAGGGCAGGCGTTGGGTGGCCACATGAGACGGCACAGGCTTAAAAAGACTCTGATTTCGATGAACAAGGAGCAGTTACAGCGGCAACAGGCGGCAGAGGAGGTGGTGGGAAGTGATTCGACATCTGCAGCAGTGGAACCACAATGGCTGAAGGCGGAGGAAGACCAACAGCATAAGTTGAAAAGTGAGTTGGTTTTGGCAGCAAAGGAGTTGCGACTATCAATTTGATTTTACACTATCAATAGTTTTAATGTTATCGATAGACCGACCCGTCGCTAACTAGCAGTTTGTGCAACCAAATCTTTTGTAAGTGGTGTCACAAATACCCTCTTATTCTTACCTAAGACTATGCATTGTGAATACATTATATTTATTATATACAGACCATTTTTCTAAATATATAATATTTATATACAGCAAAACTCACACACACTCTTCCCCTTTGGTAAGACATGAACCCTAACTCCTAAGTGGAACCCCTTTAAATTCTAACTAAAGGACATTGATAAAGAGAAAGAAGGTTTATATATATAAGATCGGGTTCAGGGAAAGAAAAAAAAAACAGAGGAAAACCCTGATAACCATTCATTTGTATGGTATGCACATGTACATAACATGCACACGTTATACACATGTGCATAACATTCACATGTGCAAAAACACCAAAAAACAGCTTCAATTACTTATGCACATGTGCATACCGTAGGTTACCAGAGTTTTCCTCGGTTTTTCATTTTTTTGGAGTTCTCTCTCTCTCTATATATATATATGTATGTATGTATAGTTCGATGATCTGTGTTTGCTGATGTGGGACTCTAACACAACCCAAAACGACTATCGTTTACTCTCTTCTGGATTTAAGGTGGCGATTAAGCTTAACAGGACCTACTGAATTCTGGTTCTAACACTAGATGTATAAGAAGAGGGGCAAACTTATAATATAAAAACAAGTACAAAATACAACTTAATGTGCGTTGTGGCTTACAACAATCGGGTCAACTCTTAAGAATAAATCTATACATCTTTGTCATACATGGTAGATGGTCGTTGATACTTGATAGGATACAAATGAAACATGAAAAACCAGAACAAAACAAGCACGACAATCATGATTTCAAGAAACGAAATGCAAAATAATTACACCCCACACAAAAAATTATATTTACAAGGGCAACGGGAAGATGGATAGATAGGATGGACCTGCATCATAGAACGGTGTTGATATGGAGTGCTTTAAGCAGTGAAGTTGCCATCTGCTTCACTAGAACTTGACCACCGGAGCTCTGCCCATCTCTGCGCTCTTCGATTAAATTTTGAAGTTTCTGAGGCAAGTCGTTCTCAACGATTAGTTGCTTTGGACGCGGGTGATGTTCATAAACAGCCTGTCACATGATACCCAAATATCAGACATTCTTTCTGAATGTAAATGACAGTTGGAACAACTTTATAAAGAACATCAAAGGACATAGAGGAACACACAAACAATGCCAAGTTTCCGACCTTTATTAGTTTGAGCAGATTGAGACGAGCTATGGCGTCCTGGTGATCAAGCCTCGAAATGAGCAATGGTGTTAATCCATTAACAGCCAATGTTGTGTTTATTCGAGATGATTTCCTGCAACAAGAGATCAAGGCTCTTAAGCTACATGCATATAAAGAAAAGCAACTTTCGGATAAAAACAAAAGCAAATTGTGCACATTATTAACCCAAAGTAATTAGTTTTAACTGAGAATCTGAGATGAAGACGTAAGCAGATTGTCATGATTGCTATAGTTCGGAAAACGTAATCTTTCTTCCACATACATGGAGAGAGAGATATCCAACCTAAGGCCGCACATGAAATTTTAGGTTTCCCTTTCTGATGTTTATTTGAGAGAAATAACCAGGCGTTTCAGAACGCCTGCATACACTTTAGATTCTCGCATATGTAGACACACAAACATGTCTGTGTCTAGTCATATAACTTCAATCAACATGAAGAGAAAATGTGCAAATAAAACATTGGGGCAGGTTCATGTGAGAACCGTAAGAACCAACTGTCCATGCATTATTCATGATTAATATCGTGACTGATATTCATGAAATTCAGCATGAATAATGAAAACGATTCATGAATATTTAGGTTTATTCATCATGAATAATTCAGAATAGTTGGTTCTCATGGTTCTCAAAAATACTTACGGTTCCTAAATAAACTACAAATGAATATAAACATACACAGTTACACACATAAGCAGATCAATATGGAAGTGAAAGAAACATACGTGATAATCTTCAAAAACGGCTCTAGTATATGCAGGAAAAACTGTTCTGGACAGCACTGGAAGAATTTGACCAATTTTTGAACTGCATCCTTTCTTAGCAACGCTTGCTCCACTTTCTTGTTGTCATTGTCATGTGCCAAACAAACAGCAATTGAATCTAACGCTGTCACAGACCAAAGCTGGTCTTCAAGTAAACTCAAGTATACATCCATCCCACCATGAGCTCTTAACTGCTCCCTTGAATTACGTGATGCATGGGCCATATCACATAACAAAGGCAATGCATATTGTCTCAATGGAGAATCCGACATGATAAAACGCATCAAGTGTGGGATGATTCCATTTTCTGCTGCTTGTTCTTGTCTCCTCTTATTAATCTTGCATAGATTGAATAGTGCATTGAGGACCTTCAAGAGACAAAAATTCATGATGGATTATTCAAAGCATGTCAAGAATCATAATCAACAATATATATTTGCAATATCTTTACTAAACCAAAAAAGCCTATCCCACCCACAGGTGGGGTCTAGGGAGGGCGAGATGTACGCGGACCTGAGTCCTGACCTCTAGCCCAAAGAGCAGCTGTTTGTCTGTGACTGCATTATCTTTATTGGGAAAGGTAAATTGTCGCCTTAAACATCCTCATGAAAGATACATATAGAGGGAAAAAGGCCTTCATTAGATTATCAGTTCATTTTTAGTAAGCACAGGTTGTGCATATGCATGCAAATGAGCGAATGCATTAAGTTTGGACCTCCAGCATAAGAGAATCATATTCGAATAACCACCCACAACTTCACTCACCTCGTGATGAATTTGAGACACAAGGGGACCATCTTTGAGGTCAAGGTTCGGAATAAGATGCTTGATGGCATCAGCTCTTTGTAGATGCTCTAAGCAGTGTGGATCAGTAGACAAATGATTGATGCATTTTAACAACTGCATTCCAAGGAACAAATAGTGTATCAATAGGGTGAAATATCCACAAATGTAAGCGAAACAAACTTGACTATGAAATAAATTCTGCACCTTCAACAGAATAGGGGGTTCAATTTTATTGAACATCTGAAAGAGCCGGCTAAGCAAACTTTGGCTACACATGTAGGACTTCACTGTTGAGTCTGCACCAGCAAATTCGAGTAGAAGATCTGCTACTTTTTCCAGATATTCCCTAGCAACGTCTGCATTCCACGGTGATACCATGTGGGACAGGAGTCCAGATGAAGTTGCACTCCCTGGTCTAGCGTTAAGAACTCCGGAACCAGAGAGTACACCAGATGCTGTCTGAGATGCAATTCCTGATGTTGAAGCCCCTCCCTCATTGGATGCCACCGTCCCAGCCTTCTTATTAACTAATTTATGTGGAGTCGTCCTAGGCATCGCCTCGCTGTTAGCATTTTCTCTTCCACGACTAGAAGCCTCTGTACAATGATGATAAAAGAAACACACAAATCAGAATACCAACATCCTCTCAAAGCTAATGCATAAAATACAAAGAAAACAAGAAAAATAAGAAAGGCAGTCATCAAGAAATGAAAACACTATACCAGCAAATTCAGCCATCAGGAAATCCAGCCCGTTGGTCTTCTTTTCATTAGATGAATGCAAAAGGGGGAGTATGCTTTCATGTTTCTCCAAGCCAGTAAGATGGCGTACATACTCAAGCTGGCCTGAAAAATGTCGTGAAGGGGGTTCCTTGTCCAACAGACTTAGAAGAGGACGCACATTTTCTTGTTGAGTTGTAGCATGATACCCATTTGATGCAGCATCCATGGATTTTCGAGGCTTGTCAGCGGACAACCTTCCAAAATTAGAAAGTCTCTGTCTAGGTTCTGCATCTTGTGAAGTATCTCTCTCTACAGAAACATCCTTCACTGTAGCACCAGGTACTCTATCCATTGACATTGAATCTGGTGATCTTGAAGTAGCTGGAGCTTCAGCACTAGTGTTGCTCGACTGAGGTTTATCTGTATCTAGCGTAAAGAATCTCGAATCAGGTGAGTGAGACGATGAAACTCGTGAAGATTCTTGAGGTCCAGGAGGAAAAGGATGATCTGTTGCAGCATGCTTGACCTTAAGGTGATCGGGATAATCCAACCCATTGGCTGAACTGTCACTCTGTGTAAAAGCATTATTACTAGGATCCAGTGGACCAGAGCGAGATCGCAAAGCCAAACCATCCATCGAAAACCCACCTCCACCAGATATAGAAGCCAGCCTAGTTGCCTCATTCAAGCTATAAAGGGTATTGATGAGCCTGAGTAATATTCCGTTTTTTGCAGCTATTCGACAAAAATCATTCCTAAGGGTTGATCGCTGAAGCTTAAATACTTGCCACATGCCATCAATAGCTAGGTGGACCATTTCCCTGGAATTCAAAAGGCTTCATTAGTACGCTCTGCCCAAAATTCATGACGCGGATCCTATATAATCACCAGATGGCAGATGCTATTCCAGACACTATGCATATATCAGATACTAGCATGCACCTATATGCTCACAAATAAACTGTGGGAATACATCACATGTATTATTACCATGCAACAAAAAGTAGAAGCATGTTACAAAGTCTGACCAGGATAGATCACATAATTTAGAGCTTGCAAAGTTACCAGATACTTGAAAAGCTTTTACAAATGATCATTCTGGAATTGGTCAATATACACCCAACCAACATTACATCAAAAAGATTCATCACAGTTGCATAGTTAGTATGAAACTTTGTATACAAGGTAAAAACCTGTATTTTGCATAATCAGCCTCAAGAAATCCCACAAGAACAGGTATCCCACGGCAAGCTATGAACATCTGCAATGTCAATGAGCTGCAACAAAAAGACTCCACCTTAATCCATAATCCTAGTACGGTAAAGCACAAAAAATTATGCAAGTTAGCGTGACATGAGATAATTTTTTACCTTGACTGGCAAAGTTGCTGCAAAAAGTAAGCTGCTTCCATACGAACCTCTCTTGCTTTATCAGGCACAGCAAAACCCATAACAACAGGGACCTGGGGAGGTTTCTCGATGGTTAAAATAGTTAGAAGTTCTCTCTTTATCATTGGCTATCAAGAGTACAAAAAATTTCAAGTCCACAAAGATCTCACACGAATAATGTATATCAGAAGCTGTATACGTATTGCATCACAAAGACTTCTTTTGTTTTAACAGTTACAACACCCTTGCCAATGAGTTTTTGTGTAAGCTGACAGTACCACAGCACAATAACAGCCGATTGGGCATTAAGAACATCCTTTAACATATGCCACTTCAATTACTACAACAGTACATAGTGCATCCAGAACCAGTCAAATGTAAATGAAGTTATTGACAAAGTATTGGGATATCTGATATCTCCATATATGCTTCTCCTTAAGAAGCAATCTCTCATGGAAGCATCTATGGTCACTCTCTACGTTTGAACATTTAACCTACTGTCATAAAAGGGTACAGAATACTTACAAGGCCAACAAGACAAGCATTTTCCTGGAAGTCGGTATTATCCTTGATAATTTGATTCAAAACCTGCAGCACGGAGCATATAACCTGCACCTAAAAGATAGCAGTAAAATACATCACTAATTATCTAATATCTGAACTAAAAAAGAAAAAGATGTAGCAAGCCACTTGAATTTCCATACCCGTGTTCTAGGAACCTCAAGCAATTCCAGAAGAGGGAGCAAGCCATGTTGGGTCATAAATACAAGTTTCTGCTCAGGACGGTGTTGAAAGAAAACTGTTAACTTGTGACAGGAGGTCACAATCACATCTTCTGATTCCTCCGGTCTCAATGATGAAACTAGTTTGCCAAATTCAACAGCCTACATGACGATTTTTATGAATTAAAATTTGTGTACACGATATAGCTATTGTCTTGTGAAATGATATGAAAAATGTGGATCCGTAGTAACTATTTTTGACCAACGATGAAGTTGGAAGATAAAACTACGAAGGAAAATAAACTCTTCATGCCTCAATAAAGTAATGCTATAAAAGTAGAAATAAGAGTATTTGCACCATTGGCAGTGAAGTGAAGATGGTATAAGTGGTTGTTGTCTATACCAAAGCGCATGGGGAAGGGGGTCGAGATACATGTATATGTGGTTTTGGGGGGGGGGGGGGGCGAAGGATCGTGTGAGAAGGGAAGTAATGGTGAGAAGCGTAAGAAGAAATCTGAACTCTTGATCGCTTTTGATCTCATGCCCACCCATGAATTGCGCTTTAGAAGGAAATTGATCCAGTGCATCCAAGTGCACCTCATTAGTGTTGACATTCAATTAGGATCGATCCAAGGGTGGAGATATCTTCTTACGCTTCTCACCTTAACTCTCCTCACCAGAAACCAACCCTGTGTACATACATACATACATATATATATATATAGAGAGAGAGAGAGTACCTGCAGGTGGAAAAGGTTGTCTGCGGGTAGTTTATCATCAAAACCCTGATAAACAAAAGAAATCAGAATTGCCACAGATAATAGTGACGATGTAAATATAAACATGTTATCAAGCTTACCAGACCATCAATACCAATAACATCCTCCTTTAAAACACCCATCATTAGATGAAGTATATCTCCCCCATTAGACTGCCCTGGTTCATTTTGTTTTTGAGCAATTGTAGCTCTTAAGTGTCTTGCCAAGTCACCTTTCCCACCATCATCAGCAAATGTGTTACCTTGATTAACATGTGATGAGGATGCAGATGTTGAGGCTTCAGCTGACCGATCCTCCAGATTTTTATCCACGGGCTGAAACAAGTCATCCAAGGAAGCATCTCCAGGAGTATCACTAAATTTACTTAGCTCATTTCCTCCAACTGTTCTTGATGTCTTCACAGCCTACGTGCAAAAGTTGGAAGAGAATGCATATGAATCTAAAGTTAGAACTTTCCCTGACATGTGTGTTTAGGACAAGAATCACGACTATGAAATCAGATGTGAAGATGCTGTCAGGCAAATGGTACAAATATTGTATAGATTTACTGTTATCTAGGAATATCATTTGTTAAGTAAAAACTATGAGGAAACAGACTTGAAAGAATATACATAGAAAGTCATGTTTACAACCATGAAGCTTGAATAACATGGATAAATGAGGGCTACCTGCACCCACACTTAAGCTATGTATAGATGTATCACCATCGAAGTCCATCATTGGTCCCTGAGGCACCAGCTCCGAATTAACACAGGGCTTGATTAGTCTCTTTGCCAGGGTATAACATATCACGGGGGAAGGGAATGAGAATCAAAGCAAACTATATAGCACTGACATCAACGAGCAACATGGCTTGGCATTTAGCAGGCACAAACACATATGTGCACAAACACGTTTCATTTACGAATAAAAAGAATCACTATACTAATGAATTCACGCCACTGTTTCCAAATACATATAACGTAAATTTTGTAAATTATTAACTTTAATCTTTTAACAAATGGCTTTAGAGAGTAAGAAGTCATGAAAAATATATAAATGAAATAAACCATTAATCATGGGCATTGCTCCACAGGCACAATATACTAATATAATACATGATAGGTTTACAGGCTAGGGTTCTTAGATATCCACATAGTCATCAACACCAACACTTTGTATTATTACCATAGCAAGAGACTAGAGCTGATGTATCCATGATTGCCAGGAAAGAGTCCAGGAATCATATGGACACCAAAACAGTTGCAAACAATTTTTACAAAGAAGTTTCAGACATGTCAAAGAGGCACTGAGAGGTAATTAAAACGATGCAGGAATGTCTAATGAATGCCTGAAGTGTAAGGACGTTGAGTGTTCAAAACTTCAAACAGCAGCAATCTTAAGGGTCTATGCTACATAGGTAGTATGCGTGAGTAATCTAGATTCTAGGACAGGTGCTTACTTTAAACCCTACAATCAATTGGCTTAAGAAAATATTTAGGATCTGAAGTTGCACACCTCCAACACAGATTCTGCAGAAAAACCTTTGGGGTGTATATCAGCTTGGATTAATAACTTGCAATTGCAGACCCTTGCTTCTGAATTTCCTTTTCCCGTGTCAACGATAGTAGCCCTCACTAAGGATATTGTATATACTTATTAAATGCAAGTAGATTAAACATTATTTTAACTTCTATATTAAAAAATGCAAGCACCCTGCGTTTAGAAACAGCATAGTAACAGCTAATTGGAGAGTACTCGATCTTGGAAAAATCTATATATGGATTTCAGAGGTAAGACAACTTTTCATGAAAGAAACATGCAATATACCTTTTGGCTACTGTAGTCATGGCCTCTGTGCCAAGAATTATCTGAACTGCTCTCCGCAGCAACAGAACTTCCATTTTCTTTAACTTTCTTATCTGTCGTGGTCTTTGTTTTTGACTCTGAAGGTCCAGAGTCACCATTTGTTACCACTACCTCGGTGGAACTCAATTCTAATTGCTCATGGACCTCTGCTTGATTAGATGCTTCATCATTAACAGATGAAGATTCTAATGGTGACTTCTCATGAATGGCTAAAGTTGCAACTTGGTCAGCTGAAATATCCTCTTCGGATGCATCTGCTTTTTCATCAACGGTATGATTACTTGAATCATTTCCCTCATAAGACTTGCCAGCAAGAGTAGCCTCTGCTAATAGCAAGTCTGTTTTAGTTTCCTGAGAATGGAAATATCAATTAGTAATAATGGAACGAATAACTTGCTGGCAATACCAGCTTTTACAAAATTCTGTACTTATCAGTTCCAATTACAAGGAAATACTTCGATTTTCTCTGCCGAGAGAGTCTCAGCAGTACTTAGATCATCTGCATTTGAAGTTTTCACACCGGTTGAACCATCATCTTCTATGTTTCTGGAAAAATAAATGGTCTTCAGATATTGAAACATAAAGTCCAAGACCAAAACTTATATGAAAAGTAATTTCTATCCTGGTCTATAGGACATTGATAGGAGCATAAGGAAATGCCTAAACGGAAACTAACAGCAGGATAAATATGTAACCAGTAACATCCAAAAGTGGAGAAGGAAAAAAATTGAAGGGTGAGATGCAGACCAGCTACAGTTTAACAATTCGTTGGTAGAAATGTAAAGACAATGCAATATTTTTCTTTAAACAAGTATTTGCACCACTTGAAGCAGATATAAGGAATATACTATTTTAAACAAAATACCTGCTGTAATCATTGAGTTATTGTCTATGCATAGAAGAAAGCTATTTAAGCTTCGGAAAGACATAATGGGAGAGCAAAACTGAGTTGGTCACTTGTATAAGCAACAAAGTAGTTGTCGTAAATTCTTATCTGCATCAAGTATTGAGTGATTTATGAACTGATTTCATGTAGTCATACAACTTTTAGTTTCAATTAGTATACAGTGACCTCACCCTTTTTCTCTCCCTACTTCTCTAACAGTAACTTATTTCTCTTTCATTCAACAATCTACAATTTGATCAATCTCAACTTAAGAAGTTTAATTACTAGCTCACAGTCTGTAGGCACCTTTACAAAAAGATGGTTATCAGACAAGATGCAGCATACATCCATGGATAAGTGAGATGAAGCCTTCTTTTACCCCCTCGTCACCCACTAGCGAACCAGAAAGCTTAGAGACACCTTTTGTTCCTCTTTCCCAATGAACAACCGCATCTGGTCAAGATGATCCTCCAAACTCCCAGGGAATAGTTATCTGAAAGTAGCATTTTTCGACTAATGCAAGAGAAGGTGAAAAGAGGATGGCTAGTCTGGTCCCACTGATAAATCAAGGGACAGTGAGGCTGTCCCAGTAATCTTTTGCCACACCCTCCAAAGCAACATCCATTAGGACAAGTAATGCTAGCATGTCCGTCTACCTTTTCCTGAGTTCAGCTCTATACTTCTGTTTCTGAAGTCTGAATAAATGACAGTAGATGAACTTCTCTTTCCATGTAGTTCTAGTACCAGATCAACCTTGGTAAGTTGTTCAATAGACATATACTCATAGTGTAGAAATGGCACTTCAAGAGTCCTGTGTGAGCAGCATGCAATATAGACCCAGCAAAGAAGCAGAACTTGATCTGGATTTAATGTCCTCTGACCCATTCAAGAGGTACCAACGAATCAAACAGAATGATTAACCAGTCGAATAAGCAACCCAATGCACTGGCAGTGAGGTTCTGGAAATGGAGACAGCACGACTCTTTCTAAATGCTCATAAGCTCCAATAAGGCCTACTAATAAAAGAAAAAAGAACCATTCCACCAATGGGATCATTCCAAAGTTCTACAAGAGAAGTAGTGCGGAGACTGTTTGGCAAAACAAAAAATATAATCGTGCAAATACTTTACAACTATAGCACACTACCAGGACATATGGCAATATAAACACAACAAATTGCCAGAATAAGGGATCTAGCACACACAACACAAGTTCAAAACAGGAAAGAAGGAAACAGACTGAAGGTTTACAGCAACTACCTCAGTGTACCACTGTGGCGGAGTGAAGACTGCAATACAACACGCCTCGAATTTTGTATCCATGGGTGAGAAAGCAGTGTCTTTGCATCGGGTCGCAGCCTAGCATCCTGAAATACGAAGTTGAATGTTAGATAGAGCATAGATAACTTCTTAGCATACAATGAAATAAAAAAGCAACCAAAATTGAGAAGGTACAAGAGTAAGATCTCCTTTGCTCCAGGAAACTTAAAGCATACAGCATTACAAGCACAAAGCAAAAGTAGAAGTACAAAAAGAAAACATGAAACCAGATGGTTTATATCAACCATACCTTTTTAAAACACTGACGCAGAAAATCCGTGATGCCAGGTGACAAGCTATCCGGTATTGGAGGATTTTCATCCTGAAGGACAAAAATTGAAGCAATTCAGTAACTGAGATCATTCAAAGCCAATGGACCATCAACAACAAAATTGCCACAACAAAACGAAAACCATTGCAGCCAAAGCTAAAGCATCAGGTTCGAACAGAAGTAAAAATTGCCTGCACAACATTAATTATCATAAAATCATGTGGTAGAAATTGATGGGAATTAAGGAGAGAACACCTGAACGATCCTAAAGAGAGCTGGCATGGGTTGAAGATCATAGTATGGAGGCACACAAGTAAGTAGCTCAATCACAGTACAACCCACACTCCATATATCAGATGCAGCACAAACTCCTGACATTTCAATGACCTGAAGAAAGAAAATTTAGACAGACATAAATGTAAACTTCCATATCTCGACTTGACATTACGTTACAACTTGCTAGCTCCCGTAGTGTGCATCTTTGGAACAGATTATTGTTGCATATATCTCCTATAATAAGTGGCGCTGAGTATCAAGCGAGCATTAAACGTGGTGACACCTGGAGCACATGTTTAACATTATCATCTCTGTACTAAAAACTGTTTTCTTATGTTTCCAGGATTAAATCAATGTTTGACACTACAGTAAATTAGTCGGTGGTATCAACGTTTGTGGTTATTTTCATACAATATCTTTGAAACTTGTTTGATATTATCAACTGGACTATCCTAAATGTTCAAGCCACCTCACATTGAAAATAGATATAAAAAGTGCCAAACTTATGACATGCACATCAATTTGAGCCCTACGAAACACTAGTCAAAATATCTTCAACATGGTTTCGAGATTAAATTCTAACAAGCTAATGGAGAGAGGCCCTCAAAACATATTACAAACAGCGTGACGATCCACCTTGACATGTTTGGTATGCACATAGAAATTATGATTCTTAAAGATGCGCTCAAATTATGATGTCACCAAATAGCTCAGCTCCTTAACCAACCAATGTCATAATGCAAGTTGTATGCTATACTCATAATGGGAACTAGAGAGAAAAACAAGATCATGTTCTTACTGTTAGAAATACAAAAACTTCCCTTCAAGAAAGACAAAATGGGCAATACCCATTCATCCTTGGAATAAGAGTGTGTGTTGAATTTGTATATAAAAGACCTCACTGAAGAGTGCCTTTGAGATACCATAAGATCCATAGAAAATCCTCAATAGCTAGTATGAGGGATGAGTCATCCCCGATGACATGAATTGTCTACCCACATTCACAAAAAAATGCACTATCAAATCGACTGGCCATTAGATAGTTTCATTTCCCAATTCATCTCTTGTATATCCCTAGATCATCAAATACTCTCTATCATCAAGATAAAACTTCCTATTTTGGAATCATAAGGGTCTACCTAATGTCTTCCTACAATGCTTCAAACGGTCAACCAACCTACAACATACAAACATATTTATCAAAAAAAGCTAGGGTGCTCTGAATAGAACATTGAAAACCACATTCTTGATCAAGTGGATGATTTGACCAATAAAAAATTGCGGCACGAGCAAGAACAGTATAGACAAAATTCGTCTTCAACACATGATTTAAGGGCCCCCCATAATCCTCATAATAAATCTAAGTATTCCCTTTGCCCACTACTCCACTCATGGTGTGGAGCTTGGTTGTGAGCAGTTCCCTTTTGTAATTAGCCCCCCCACCCCAAATTTATGTGCCCTAAAATTTGACTTACATAATTTGTTTTACCACACAGTCTTCGGACTGAAGAGATCCTTGAAGGAGTAAATAATTTAAACCGTAGAGAGAAAAATGTTGTTCCCTACTAGGGACGGCAACAGAGTGGATAAGGGCCAGGGCCAAGGCCAACGGGATCACTCCCCCATATCTGCCCATGTACTAGGATAAGGGTGACAAGACTAGCAGACTAAAGAGACCAATTCACTGGAAGTGCCCAAAAAAGAATAGTATTTAGATGCCAAGGTGCATCTTAGACATCGACCGAATATAAGAAGCAATGAGCAAGGCTAAAAGCAATCATGAGGAACTCAAAGTCAGCAATATCGTTGCCACAAACCAAGTTACAATAACTCTCAATAGTAATAAACATCTAACTAACACGTCTACCTTTTGTTCTGTTACAGAAGACACCAATATCTGCTATGCAATAAGATCTCAGTATCCCACCACACAGGTAGAAGAAGATGATACCAAATGAAGATACACAGACCATAAAACAAAACCATCCAACACTAGACAAGACATGAAGAATCATAGAAAGAACAAGAGATATACAAACATACCTCGGGAGCCATCCAGTAAGGTGTGCCAACAACTGAATGTGTGTTAACATCTGCCTCAGTTAGCTTCGTGGCAACCCCAAAATCCGCCAATTTAACAAGACCCTGAAAAAGAAAGTAGACAAAAGCAACAAGGTAAGATAAATTCTACAGCTAAAAGTATGAGAAAGAAGGGCAATTCAATTGAGGATATCAGCAGATCTGCCTCTCGAATCAGCAAAATGAACAACTACACTTTAAAATATTGAGGATTATTCAGCGCATTAGGTCCCAAACTGTGGCAAGCATCAGCCACTGGCTATGCTGTTAAAATCGGTGCAATAGCGGTTATCGATCTACAAAATTGCGGTGGTAAAATATCGGCGGTAAATTGTAGTCCCGAGAATAGCGGTGCAATTTGCCACTATTTCAACGATATTTGACATAAAATAGCGGTCCACAATACCATTATTTGCAGTTGGGCCTTTTTTGAATCTGATGCTTACATTTTGGTCTTGTTTGGGCCTTTTTTTGACTTGGGCCTTTATATTATATTTGGACTTGTTTTATTTAATAGTCTAAAACTTTAAATCATTTAATCCATTCTTTAACAGTCAACGAATTAGATTAGACTTTATTAGGTTTTCAATTTTCTTTCAACATCATCGTCCTCTTCAGTCCTCGCTCACTGTCTCGACCTCGATACTCCCTGCCTCCTCCTCGACAGTCGACATCCTCCTCCGTCTTCTTCTTCCCAGCCACGAGTCTTACTCCAGCCACCAGCCTCCTCGTCGACTCAACACTCAACAGCCCTGCTTCCCAGCTTCTGCTCCAGCTTCCTATTTTGTTCGTGTGAAACTTGTTTAAGTTGATGTTTTGATGTTGAAACTATGTTTCTAATTAATGCATATGTATGTTAAGTTATGTATGCATATATATATATATATATATATATATATATTGTAATTCTAATAATTATTATATGAACCGCTATTTTTGGACGACTATACCACCGCGATAACCGCTATTTCAAATCTCAGTCCTAACCGCTATTTTGTATTTTGACCGCTGTAACAGCATAGGCCACTGGAAAATCGTACAACGTTTACTTAGAAAAGAGACCAAGAATATAAATCAATCTAGGTGATGAAGAACAATAACTTACAAGCAATGACCATACCTGCCCACAATTGTGACAACCTAAAACTCAAATCAACACAGCAAGGCCCCTAACCCAAACTAGAAATATAGGTTAACAGTAAATTCTATTTGGAAAAATAATAAAAACATTTTTGATAAAATGGTTATAAAAGAAAATCCATCAGCGGTCAGCAAGCTCAGACCCAAAGCAGACAAGCTTAGTTATGTGCTCCGCTGTTCTGATACAGGACATACCCTCAGTTTTATTATTAGCAATCAATTTGTCACTAACTTTTCTCAAATTTATTGTCAGCCTAATAGAACCTCTTTCCACGTCAACCTCTTCGAAAAAATAGCTTCAATTGCAGCATCCAAACCAAGGCTAAGTCATTTAGAGAGATGTCCCCTCTACCCCTTAGCACAATGCCAATATCCCCATTGTTCCAACAATACAATTACTCAAAAACAATTGCAAAGATTATCTCCTAGTTGAAAAATTATAGATTGATAAACACGAGTCGAGAGAAGTTAATTAATCCCCAAGTTATATCGAGTAGGCGAGTGAGTCCTTGCTCAGGGAAGCTCTACCTCTTATTGTTTGTGTCAATACTCAACTCTTAATGCACGTATTTAATTTATTCAGAGCTATTAGAGTGAGATCCACTTTACATACTTTTTCTTCTTTCTCCCACAAAGCTTCCTTTCCTGAATCTTAGCTCTTATCTTTCTTACTTATTCTGGCCATCATGGACCAAGATCCAAATGGATCAATCTTGTTGGGAGGTACTGCCCAAGAAAAAGGCTTAGAATAGGTTTTTTTAGAAACTACAACTACAAGCTAGCTAGATGCTTAATTCAATAATTAGTTGTTCATCTAAGTGATGACTCATGCTTAAGCCCAGACAGCAGACCAAGAGCACCCTAACCAACCAGTGGTGGGAGCGCCCTTAAAGTTAGGCGGAAGCTTAAGCGACCCTAAGTAGGATCTTTAAAACATCTTAATAGTACAAGCATACAGCCTTTATCCTAAAATTAGAATAATACTATATTTCATGGTGTACCCACTTGCCATGGAATCTAACTAATAGATGAACTTGCTCAAGTGGAGCATACAACTCATAAACCAAATAAAATATTAGTGTGGCTAAGGAAGCAACATGTTAACTTATTCAAGTGGAAAAAATGACTTCACAAACAAGTCCTGCCATGAATATAACAAAGCATGGACTAAATCCGACCCAACTGCATGTAGGGAAGAAGATCCATGGAAAATAATCAAGAAAATGCATTTACAATATGAACCAGCTGCCACCAAGGAAACATATATACCTCTTTAGTAGTCAAAATATTTGCCCCCTTAATATCCCGATGAATGACCCCCTGTTCATGTAAATAAACCAAGCCCTCCAAGACCTGCCCACACATTAAGGTCAGTAATACGATACTTGGGCCAGCTAGATATATTAAAAGCCAGTAACAAACCTGAGCTATATAAACAGCCACCAATGATTCAGGAAATGGCCCAAATTTGTTTGGCTTGATTATGTTTGCAAGTGAGCCATTCTCCACATACCTTTAATCAAAAGCACCACCGATTAAACAATGATTTCAAAGCTGATACCAATTATAAACACATTGCAGATTAAGAAATCCACCATACTTACTCAAGAATTATATGAAGATGGGTCTTGGTCTTTAAGGATCCAAGATATTTTACTATGTTTTTGTGATTCAAATTCTGCATCAAAAGAAAAAAGCATCATATTGCATGAAGATTCAAACCACGATATGATCCACATCTCCAAATTTGGAAGTGGCATTGTTCAGGTGATTTAAATAGCCACGAATTATCACCAATCAGAGATATTGCAGAGGTTGGTCAGAGCCAACGCCTATTGGATTATTATGTCTATATATACTCATGAAAATATGTCCATTAAATAACCAACCACAGCATTGCCTAAAACTGTCATTCACATTTAGAGAAAACAGCTTCTTTTACATCCCGAATTAAGTGCTCTCATTGACAGAAAATATGACATACTGATCAGATATAAAATCTGTGGTTAAACCTTTGATAACATAACTCCTGCACCAAACACTTGCCCAGCATTCACTTGCATGCAACAAAAAAAATATATGTATATTTGTTCGATTTTTTCAGCTTTGGCAAATGGCAGGAGCATGCACTTAGAAGTAAAAATGTGGGGGTACTTGACTTGTTAAAGACGACTTCTATTTTGGACATTACAAAATGAAAAAGAACATGAATTTGGAGAAAAACAGAGGATGTCTTAAGGAAATCGATCAAGCCTACATTGTATTTTAGCCAGGAAAATGAAGTGATGGTTTATGAATCTTCTAGAATTTTCATGTAATTACGGAAAATAAGTACAACGAGGTTAGAACAAAGGGATTACCTTAAGCAAGTCAATCTCTTGCTGAGAAGTTACCACGTCCGATTGGATCATAATTTATCCATAAAGAAAGAAACAGAAGTATTAATACAAAATAATGAAGTAGTCGCACATCAACATGCTACTTGACCAATAGGATCATCATATTATAAATAATTAAAGATCACATAAGAGGCAATAAAATACATCATATCACATGTTTGAAACAATGGAAATTCACTAAATATTATGAGAAATTAAATATAAAACCATGTGAGTGTCTAAAAAGAGACAAGACACCATAAAAAATACATTGCAAAGCTGCCTTTAAACTAAACAGTAGCATGGATAGCAAGAAGATTGAATTAATCATATCCTATGGCATTAGTGAGGGCATAAGAAATGGCAACAGATGTGGTACAGTGTATGTATATTCAGTTCAGCAAATGACTACATAAGATGAGGAAAGTCGATTGTATACCAGGTAAGGCTTAAGACCTGGGTTTAACAAGTCTTGTGTTCAAACTATATAGGTGCCTTTAAATCCTTACGGGATGCTTTTCGCAACTAGTTGTGCCAAAGATGCAAGAGACCACAGAAAACCAAAAGAAAGATATCCTTGTAGACTTCTTACCCCAACAAAATTTCTTGAACTATGAAGACTAAACAAGTAGCTTCTTATTGCTATGGTTTCAGGTTTCCAACAACCTCAAAAGAAGCGTACTCATTAAATACAATATATATTGCAACTAATTGCAAGCGCAAAAAATTATTGCAACTATGCTTACCAAAAACCTAAAGAACCCGCTACTAGGCGATTCAAATGTATGTGCACATATAGTTGCAAAGGCGAAACCATATTCTGACTCTTGATTTAAGAATCTACTAGTGTTTCACTGCCTTGAAGGAGAGGCAAATATATCATAATAAAAACAAATAATAAACATAGAGAAATAAGTACGCATTGGAAATGAAGAAAACCAATGAACAAGACCAAAAGATCATTCATTGTTTCACTAAATATTAATGAAAATAAGTAAATAATGAAAGGATAAAAAAATGAACAAGGTTAAAAAGGCGATAACACAAGCAGGGAAAGGGGGAGATTATTAACCTCAGAAAAAAAAACGATTAAATTATACCATGATGATGTTAAGATCCTCCTGTGCAATATTCTCCAAAGAAACTTGTTTTATTGCAACAAAATCCCCATTCTCCAAATCCAAGCCCTTGTATACTCGACCATATGCTCCTTTCCCAATCTCATCTCCAAGCATCTACCAAAATATAAAAGGAATAGCATACTTGAATTTAATATGCATATATCCCAAGCCAAGTAGAACATAGAAAAACAAATATTCTACCAGGAGGAATATAAAAGACAACCACCATAGCACCAAAGACCAATTTCCTCGGCCTTGCAACCAACGTTTGTGGCAGAAAAAATCTTTGTATGGAAACATTCCCCTTACATTTTTTTTAAGAGATTGTTTTCTGAGACTAAAAAACGTGACCTTCCGGTCACAAAAAAGTAACATTCTATTCGTTGACTAAACCTCCCCTCTCTGCCGGGAAAAACGTATTTTACAATAATTAAGTTAAACCTATATTAATCTACATGAGGGGGGTCTTCTTTAACGGGAAACAGCCTCATAAACCCATGTTTCTGAAAAAAAATAACTCAAACTTCTCGATTGGTGTCATAAATACCCTTTCCCAAGATGAACCAAAATGACTGATTAAACATTTTTAAACAAACAAAATATCGTGTTCCGAAAAAAGGGATATACCTTGACTTTCAATGTTAAATATCTAATACTTTCCTAATTCAAAGTCAACATGGATTTGCTTACAAATTCAACATCAACATTTATTGTGCATAGCATTTATTGTAAAGTTGATTCACTCGTCCAAATATTCTCATAAATTCATCAATTTGAAGTACAGAACAGCGAACATCAAATGCTATTTGGAGGGAATATATCATTGTGAGCTTGAAGGACTTGCGTTCTAAAATTCAAAGAATCGAAAGCCCTAATGCTAAAAAAATGTGCTAATATTTTCCAACCACCTCATTATTCAATTGGAAATTGTAGTACTACAAAACCCACTTATAAGATATCAAGCTACATCTGGTTGAATTCTAACTATACAAGCTATTTCATGAAGCTACATTGCTTCGCTCCTAAACCAAGTCTATAGATGTGCTACTGGTTTCCAAACAGAGACTGAAAAATCAAATAACTTAGAGCCCTAATGCTAAGTGATTAGAAAAATAGCCAATAACATTAAGCACTCTCGTAACTTCTTTTTAATCCCAAACCCCGTTGCATATCCAAAACATGCTGAAAGGGCCATGTTTTGATTATATCAAACCTAGTACTCTTTTAAAGCAAGATTGTTAAGGAATGTGATGCAACAAGAACACCAACATTAATCCATCAAACTACTTGAGAAAGTTTGAAGTAGTTAACCATATTTTCTTGAAATCTTCAAAACCCATATCAATTTTGCAACCATAAAGTGCAGGATTTGACATCCAAGGTCAAAAGAACGGGTCCAATTTATTGGAACGAAGGGACTAGTAGTAGTAGTAGTACGAAATACGGTATACAAATTGGGCGAAATTGTGAGCATTTCTTACATATTTGTTGTCCAGGGTCTTGGACTTATGAAACGCGGTCGTCGTCGCTTGCCGAGACATATCTCTCCCCTCCCTGTCTCTTTGAATTTCAGTAAGGGAGGAGGGTTTTCAGTAACCCTAGAATAAGAATTCTGCCATTATTGCTTATTCAAGTGAAATGAAGGGTTAGACTCTTTCGATTTCGAAGAAGACGGAAAAACGAAGATGGGGGACAACACAATGGGCCGGCGGAAAGTGATCGACTGCAGAATCTCCGACGAGTTCTCAAGAATCGGAAGAGGGGCAAAATACTGTTGTTAGGTTGTTCCAATTGGTCGTCCTTTCTGTCAATATGTCTGTTGCAAGCCTAATATTAATGTTTTTCAATGAATTACAAACATGGTCCTTAAACTCTTTGATAAGTTCACTTTGATCCTTCAAGAAATAAAATGATTGTTCACATTCCTTCATTATAATTTTATTTTCAATTTTGTCTTTTTGTTTCGATTTCGTCCAAATTAGTTAGGTGTTATAAATGTGATAATCGGGGTTATTATGGTTATAAAGCTTGTGGTGGTTTTTGAAAAGCAATGGTAAGTAGAGGGGTTGAATATGTCATTATGCCTAAATTCTTTTTATTATCATCACCGCCTTTTATTATTATTACCATTATAATGAGATAATTAAGTTATCTTATTGGAGGATGATACATGAGATATAAGGAAATTTGAAAACTGGGTATAGAATTATATGGTTTTTCATATGAAATGTTGTTATAAAATTGTTTTGATGTCATAATTGGCAAAATTGAGGTTTTTTTTGTTATGATTATATCATCGTGGGAATAAGAGTGGCATATCAATGAGAGATGTATACTGAAATAAGGGTGACATATCAAGGGAAAATGTATATCACGATAAGGGTGGCAAAACCATGAGTTATAAAAATCTGGGTTTTTGATCAACATTCGGTATTATTGCATCTTTATGTTGCGATGACTTAAGGTTGTCGCATCTGTGTGATACGATAACTTCAAGTTGCCACATCATATTTGATTTGATAAAGTGTGGTTATCGCACCAGTGTGATGTGAGGAGTAAGTTTTGTTGCATCATTGTGATGCGACAAGTTAACTTGTCTCACCCATATGATGCAACAAATTGGGTTTCTCGCGTGTGATGCGGTGAGTTGATGGTCTTGCACCCATGTGTTGCGAGGAGATGAGTTGTCTTCTCATGTTAATGCGATAGGTTTGCTCAGGAATGTGTTTATTTTATTTAAAGTTGGATGTTTGGATCTTTTTTCCTATTTTTTGAATTAAATAATAAAAAATAATAAAAAGGTAAATTAAAATAACTAATTATAAAAGTATAAAGTGTAATTTAATAATAAAAATTAATTTTATTTTTAATTATCATGTTGAATGTAAAG